ATTATTGTTCAGGATATTTATACATTCACGGCATTTCCAACGATGGTATGTAATACTTATTTTGTCCACTTGGGGGAGCTCAGGTTACGTGAAGCAAGCTTAGATTAATCCAAGACCATCTCTCCTTAGGAACTGGGGAATTTAGTTATTCAGCCTTAAATTCAAGCTGGCGATTAAGAGTATAGTAGGACATTTCTTCATCATTTCTAGTGTGAGTGTCTTGCTGAAAATAAAAACACTGCAAAAGTAACTTACTTAGAATCTTTTCAGCACTAATATCAACAACAGATAGCAACAATATGTTAACATAACTACTCAAATAGAGGCAAACGTAATCAAGTAACTAAAGATTTAATTAAACTTAATTAAATGCTTTGTGTCTTTGGAGACTCCAGTCTTTGGTTATTTAAAGTTCGGCTTCCTGGGTTATGTCACACTTTGGTGAGACAAGGAGTATCCCTTTGATGGGGTAATAAAACACAGAGCAAGGTCAGTTGCCACGGTTACATGTGTGGGGGCGCAGTTTTGATAGGCTGTTCAGGGAAATGCTAATTGCTGGTTAGTGTCCCTTTTGTCAGTTTAACAGTCAGGCACCGCTTTATCAGCTTCGTAGATCAAAAAGGCGCCAGTTTTACGATCAACTGCCCAGGCATAGCAGTTAAAGAAAGCAACTTTCCACCCCTCCTTCCGTTGGGGTCTCTTCAGCAGTCTGTTGAAAGTTGATCTTTAACCCCCCCTGCTCCTCTCTGGAAGAGGAAAAGAGGAATTTGGAGTAACTCCAAATTTATTTAATAAAATGCACAAATCCACACCGTTGTCCCACTACAATAACAATACCATAATTATGACAATTTCTTAGAGCATCTGCACCGGCTGCACTGCCTAGATTGTCACATTGGCTATGTTAAAATAAAATAAAAATCTAAAATGTATCACATTACAATGGAAAACAACGTGGCAATGTGGAAGAGGTGCTGCAGAGATTTATTACCTGAATCTGCCGCTTCACAAGGATTTACAAGGTTTATAGTGAGATTCAGCTCATTGTTTAGCTACTCGGCCGTAACTTTACTGTCTTGGTTCACTCTCACTTCTCTCATATAGAGTCTTTTTTGGCCGCAGCAGGCAGATTTCAGTGAAAGAGCTATAAAAACTGAATATACTTAATTAGCATCAAGCAGCAGACGGACGTAGTTAGCAGCTAGCTGGGGAACATAGATGAGCTGTAAAAAGTAACTTTATAAACTTAAAACATGACATGAACATGACATTTTTATTACAGGTTTAAACTGAATTGCAGGCTCATTTCCATCTGGACCTGCTAATCCTAAAGAGGATTTAAGAATATTCCAGATTTGGTGTATCAAGACAATAAAACTGACAAATATTATGACTATAACAGAGGTTCTCTGAAGCAGACTTATTGACTCCTTTCCTCTGAATAAAACATTTTCAAGAACCTATGAACCTTTTAAGGAACTCGGGACCTCAACTTGCGCTTTGACCAAAGGGACCAGGGTCTATATTTCTTTCCTACTTCCTATTCCATTTTTCAGCAGTGTTAATTTAAAGTAAATGTTCCAAGAAGTTTGGGTTTAGACTAAATTAAGCCACAGAGAAGATTAAAAAGTTAAGAATAAGAAATAGTTGAGCTTTTAAATATATTGTATGATGTATTATGTAAATCTTTGCAATGGTTGAATCACTTGAAGCCATTAAAACATCTGCTCCCACATCAGGGTTTGTTTCCAGGAACTGTACTGTTGCTGGCTGGTCAGAAATGTATCCATCCTACGAGGAGGCATGTGCTTTCCGTGATGACAGCGAGCCTGACTATGAGGTAAACAGACTTTTTGTTGTACTCATGCCAGTCTGTTAAACTTATTCATATTGTTTCTGCTTCCTCTCCACTCTTCCTCCCTGACTGCTTCCTTTTCAATCCAGACCTATATGTAGGCTTAGCAGTGGTCTCCACTAATTTTCCCCACACTGGCAGGACACAGTCAACTGGAGAGCCACCTTTACTGCAAAACAAATGAATTTTGGGTTTGACGCTCAATTTAACTTTTTTTTTATATGCTTAACTTAATGACTTGGGCCTCTCATCTTTTACTTTGACCACCTGCAGTCTGCCCACTGTAGTCCCTCCATCTAGTTTAGATTTGAACTTTGATTAGAAATTGATTGTTTTTTATTGCTTGTACGCTACATGCTAGCATGTGACATTAGCTAATATAATGCTTTGCTACATGAGTGAGCAGTGTTGCCAGATTTGTGACAGCTTCAACCCCTCAATTCAGTAGCAAAATTGAAAGATTTTGTAAAAATCCAAATATACATCAAAGGGTCGCATGATTATAGTGCAGTGTGCAATATATATGCAATTTTTTTATCCTACACAAATTAGCATACACAAGGCCACTATTTATTTAGCTATCAACAGCACTTCAGCCATTCTGATGCTTCAAAGGACCAGAAGTGACAACACCACACTGACCGTAGTGAGTTGAAGTAGCAAGATTCAAGGGGCCTATGTTTGTAGCTCATACTGCCATTTTGTGCCATTTTTGTTTCAATATTAATTGTGAATTATTTAGATGGTATATCAGACTTAAAATTGTTTGATACAACACTGTAAAGCAAATTACAATGCAATTAAAGATAGAGATGTTGATGTTTTGGTATAACTGTGTTTCCCACTTCCAAAGTTTTATTTATTGATTATAATAAGGAAAGCAGGCCTGTTGTTATATCGGACCCAGTCGGATCCACAGTTTGAGACATTTGTGACATTTCACTCATCAAGCCATATTCTATTCATGCATTTGACAGCATCACAATTTACTCACGCCCCCCATCTCTGTCTCTCTCTCTCCAGACGAGCTACTTCTCTACGTTAAGACAGGTTTACACTGTAGGCTATGCCACCTCACTCATCTCCCTCATTACAGCCATAGTGGTGTTTACAGCCTTCAGGTAAGACCAGCACAGCACACATTCCCCTAAATACATACGCAAACAGAGGGCAATAAAAGGGACAACAACTAGGATGCTCACTCACCTGACATTTATGTAGTTAAGATCCTATCTGGCAGTGTTTAGAAACGAGTATATAGCTGTGACGTGTTTGAAGTTACAATATCTTACAGTTCTAACGGACAGAAATATCCAAATATTCAGATGATCAGTGACAATAAAGACCCAGTCAAGCTTTTCTTGAATAAAGTATAGTTGTTTGTTTTCCTTTTTTCTTATTGTGTTATATAATATGGATAATTGATACTTTCGAAGCATAATGTGTGTCTTAAAGCGACAACAAAAGTAATTCTGAAGCTAAACTAAAGATAAAACTTGGTGGAGACATTTTCAGCAAACAAGCTCAGAAAAGACGAGTGAACACTACCTCCCCAGGATTAAACAACGTGATAATGTAAACAAGTCTCAATTTCTTACTATTTTGGACTTAAAGGAAAACTACAGTCCATGCCACTGTTCATGGTTTCCTGTTGGACTTGTTTTAAGATATGTTGTCTGGTTTCAGAATCTTAACCCAAAAGCAGACTGGAGACAGAGCAGGAAAAGATAAGGTTATTTACTTTTAAAAATACAGAATGAATGAAGCAGATTGGTTGGCAGGTGAGTGGGGCTGGGGTTTGGCTTAAATCCAGAAACCTATGTGGGCTGGCAGGAGGGTGAAGCTGGTGTCTTTGGAAAGTGAGTTCTGTGGCTCGCTGATCTGTTCTACGACTTCCTGACAGGGAAAATCCAGCAGAAAAAAGACAGAATACCTGAACAATCAGCGTTTCCGGCTCTGAGCAGACAAGGTGGCTGGCACATTATCATACTGGGAATGACACAATGATCTGGCAGTGACTGGATGTCTGGTCTGTCCTCAAGAAGGACAGGCTGATTGGAGTGGTGATGAACAGGTGTGAGAGTGGTGATTGCTAGCAGGTGAGGGTGAGCGCCAACTCACGGGAGGTAATGCCCACAATCTCCACTGAAGAGGGAGAGACAGGACAACACAGACAGACAGATAAAACCAAAACACCAAGCACTGTACATTCATCCAAAGGCAAAAATAAATCAAAACACAGTCACTCCCAATGTCACTGGGCAGGTGTCACAGCAGGGGGTCCGTGACAAAAGTTCCAGCTAAAAATCTCAGCAATGACTTGTGATAGTGAGTACAATGTTATCATGATAACACAACTGATAGAACCAATGTCCAAAGCTAAAAAAAATGAAACCTAAGTTGTAAGAGATATAAAAGATGAATAGAAACATAACTCTTATGGGATACTCATGTTGCTCTGCATCTGCTGGATGAGTAGGCAGTTGTTTACTTATGTGCTGGTGTTTAAAGCAGCAGTAGGGAATTCTTTTAAAAATAACGTTTTGTCGTATTTGTTAAACTGTCGCTATATCCTGACAGTTGTACATGAGACTTCTGCAAACACAGTGGCTGAGAAACAAGCACCAGCAAGGAAAGAACTGCATATCCCTCATTTGCAGCGTATAGTACGAAACACTTGTGTGATTACGTCCTGGCTCCACAGAGAGCTTCAGGCTCATGATCTTCAATGCCATGGCACTTGTATTGATGAGTCATGATGACAAACAATGGGGAATAACTTTTTAGGGGGGACAGTGGTGTACTAGCCTCTCAATCTGCTGTTAGATGCTGTTGCAGCTGCCCCTGAGGTCAAAATGAGAGGGACTGGCGAGACTCTCCCCGTGGAGAGCAAGCCCTATGCGGGATGAGGTTTTTCAGGGCAACCAGCTCCTTCGGCTGCCGTACAAACTTGTGGGTTTAGTGGGCCGGGTTTAGCAGAGTGATACGAGCAACAGAGAGGGACGCGGAAGGTTTTGTGTTGAATGTTCAATTGTTACATCTTTAACTGAGAAGCCAGCTAACCTTTTTTCAGTTCACAAATTAGTGTGAAATGTTGTCCACAAAAAAAGACGTCAGTGTAATAGAGGAGTAAAGAAACCAGAAAATATTTACATTTAAGAACTCAAAACGATTATCAAAATATTTAATCAATTTAATTGTTGGCAACTATTTGATTAATTCGATGAATCGTTGCTGCTTTAATGTGTGTGCCATATTCCCCTCGCTCTGTTTTGGCTTTTTTCAGAAAGTTCCGCTGCACCAGAAACTACATCCACATCAACCTATTCTCCTCCTTCATCCTGAGAGCCAGCGCTGTTTTCATTAAAGACACTGTGCTGTTTGCTGATGAGAACCTGGACCACTGCTTTGTGTCCACGGTGAGCAGCACGCTATTTAATCAGCAATGTTTTTTTATCATAAAGCAGATTGCTACATCTGCTGTATGATTAACAATGGGAAGAGACGGCAAAGAGAAGTGAAAGATGGGAAGACAGGTGGAAAACTGAATTATTTTAGCAATTGGATTTTAAACTGCAGGTATGTTTCATTTTTTGATGTTGTTAATAAAGTGTTGGCAACATGAATTATTACTCATGTAATTTACCATTGTTTTTTTTTTTACAGCATGTAGTATATTTTGTAGTGATTTAGTTTTTTCTTTTGTAGTGGGTTTTTGTTCCTTATGCTTTTGCAGAATACACAGAAAATTGCTTTTGGAGTTGCATGTTTGTCAAAAATCTTTATTTTGCAGACACACTTGAGCAGTTACACCTTTTCAAAACCTTCCCCACAGCCTATTAAATCAGTAACTACACACCACAACCACTTCATATGCTCACATTTTGTGCTACAATCACTGCAGTGATGTAGGAAATCTGAAGACATAGACCAGATTTGGAAATTGTTATTGACGATAAATATGAGTGGGATGGGATGAGAAAATCCTCCAACATCTTAAGCTAAATGAAAAATCTTAAATTAAATAGAGAAATCTGAAAAACTGTCAGAACTGTTGAAATTTTGGAAAGACATAATTTACTATTAATCTATTTCAAAATCGAGAAAGGTAAGTATAATGCCATTTCAAGCTGTAAACATCAGAGTAACTGATTAAATAACCTCTAACAGCTACTATATTAATAATTTCTGTAATCTGTAGGCTTACTTATATACTGTTTTATGTTTATTTATATCATATGCTTTCTGCTTTTGTTTTTACAACTACACATTTTTGCCACAACTAAACGCTTTTAACCTAAAATGCAAATGTCATAGTGTCTTATGCATTCATAATGGAATAGAATATATTAGACGTAGTAGGTTTTTATAGTATATCATTCTTACCTTTGCTGATCTACAGAACGAATTCAACATGTTCAATGTTTCTTAAAGCAGTAGAAGAAAAAGAAATAGGCATTGTTAAAAAATGCAACAGATATGAAGATAGTAAAAAATGTAATTGAGGGGATCTCAAAACCATTAACTCACATTTTTAATTTGTCATTTCAAACCGATCAATTTCCAACAAAAATGAAAACAGCAAAAGTCATACCTCTGTACAAAACTGGAGATAAACACCACTTCACAAATTACAGGCCTGCCTCTCTACTGCCACAATTCTCAAAAATTCTAGAAAAACTCTTCAATGACAGATTGGACAAATTCATAGATAAACACAAACTGCTTACTGACAGCCAGTATGGATTCAGAAAAAATAGGTCAACATCACTAGCTTTAATTGAACTCATAGAAGAAATTACAAATTCCACTGGCCAAAAAAAAAATGGAGTTGGGGTATTCATTGATTTGAAAAAAGCATTTGATACAATTAATCATAAAATACTAATCAATACACTGGAAAGGCTTGGGATCAGGGGAGTGCTGAATTGGTTAAGCAGTTATTTAAAAGACAGGAAACAATTTGTGAAGTTGGGAGATTACACTTCTGAATATTTGGACGTTGTGTGTGGTGTCCCCCAGGGGTCAGTGTTGGGATCAAAATTATTTATCCTTTACATAAATGACATATGTTATGACATAAGTATCTGATCTACTCAAATTTGTATTATTTGCAGACGACACAAACATCTTTAGTTCTGGTCAGAATTTACAGCAACTCCTGGACTTAATCACTTCAGAATTCACAAAAATAAAACAGTGGTTTGACACAAATAAGTTATCATTAAATTTGAGCAAAACTAAATTCATGATATTTGGCAAATGTAAATTAATCAATCAAGTTCAATTACAGATCGAGGGTGTTAATATAGAAAGAGTATATGAAATGAAATTCCTTAGAGTGATTATAGACGACAAGATTTGCTGGAAATCTCACATAAAACATATCCAAACAAAACTGTCTAGAAGTATTTCAGTCCTGGCTAAAGCTAAGCACATTCTAGATTACAGATCACATTTTGTATTGTTCACTGGTTTTACTGTATTTACTGTGCCTTGCGAAAGTATTCGGCCCCCTTGAACTTTTCGACCTTTTGCCACATTGCAGGCTTCAAACATAAAGATATAAAACTGTAATTTTTTGTGAAGAACCAACAACAAGTGGGACACAATCATGAAGTGGAACGAAATTTATTGGATATTTCAAACTTTTTTAACAAATAAAAAACAGAAAAATTGGGCGTGCAAAATTATTCAGCCCCTTTACTTTCAGTGCAGCAAACTCTCTCCAGAAGTTCAGTGAGGATCTCTGAATGATCCAATGTTGACCTAAATGACAAATGATGATAGATGATGGGAGACTCTGTCCATAGGACAACAATCAGTCGTATACTGCACAAATCTGGCCTTTATGGAAGAGTGGCAAGAAGAAAGCCATTTCTTAAAGATATCCATAAAAAGTCTTGTTTAAAGTTTGCCACAAGCCACCTGGGAGACACACCAAACATGTGAAAGAAGGTGCTCTGGTCAGATGAAACCAAAATCAAATTTTGTGGCAACAATGCAAAACGTTATGTTTGGCGTAAAGGCAACACAGCTCATCACCCTGAACACACCATCCCCACTGTCAAACATGGTGGTGGCAGCATCATGGTTTGGGCCTGCTTTTCTTCAGCAGGGACAGGGAAGATGGTTAAAATTGATGGGAAGATGGATGGAGCCAAATACAGGACCATTCTGGAAGAAAACCTGATGGAGTCTACAAAAGACCTGAGACTGGGACGGAGATTTGTCTTCCAACAAGACAATGATCCAAAACATAAAGCAAAATCTACACTGGAATGGTTCACAAATAAACATATCCAGGTGTTAGAATGGCCAAGTCAAAGTCCAGACCTGAATCCAATCGAAACAAACGCTCTCCATCCAACCTCACTGAGCTCGAGCTGTTTTGCAAGGAGGAATGGGCAAAAATTTCAGTCTCTCGATGTGCAAAACTGATAGAGACGTACCCCAAGCGACTTACAGCTGTAATCGCAGCAAAAGGTGGCGCTACAAAGTATTAACTTAAGGGGGCTGAATAATTTTGCACGCCCAATTTTTCAGTTTTTTATTTGTTAAAAAGGTTTGAAATATCCAATAAATTTCGTTCCACTTCATAATTGTGTCCCACTTGTTGCTGATTCTTCACAAAAAATTACAGTTTTATATCTTTATGTTTGAAGCCTGCAATGTGGCAAAAGGTCGAAAAGTTCAAGGGGGCCGAATACTTTCGCAAGGCACTGTAAATTACTGTGTAGAGGTTTGGGGTAACACATATTAAAATTCATTGCAAATGTTATTTATACTTCAAAAAAGAGCAATAAGAATAATTCACAACACTGGATATTTGGAACACACCAACTCATTATTTTCACAGTCTAAAGCATTAAATGATTTGATCTAGTTGAATTTCAAACAGCAGTAATTATGTTCATGGCTAGAAACAAATTATTGCCTGGCAATATACAGAAAAGGTTTTCTGAAATAGAGGGGGGCTATAATACAAATTTTAAAACGCCCAGTTTTCGAACTACTAGGAAAAGTTTCATGGTCAGTGGTGTTAAATTGTGGAATAAACTAAATAATGAATTAAAGCAATGTCTAAACATATTCTATTTTAAAAAGATGTTCAAAGAAATTATATTCCAGAGGTACAGAGAAACACAGTATGTATAAAATATTGTTGTGTATGGGTAATATCTGTATGTGAATAGAACTTCTGAATATATATTTTCATTGATTACAGATTTATTATCTCTGTAGACTTATTATTTTGTAGTTATTTCCTTAAATATGGTAGTAAGGGTGTAAAGGGGTAGGAGTACATAAGTTTTACTTCTTCCTACCTCCTTTTTGCACATGTAAATAGAGGTTTTTAAGTACTGGAAAGTATGCAGTTGTATTTTGTTCATTTCTTTTTTACCACTATTTTTTGTTTCGTTGATTATTTTGTTATTATTATGTTCAAAATAAAGATATCAATCAATCAATCAAAAATAAATAACTCTACTTTAATCTCTATATCTTCCCATCTAATTTGACATGAGAAAAGGTCCTTAATGAGTCATCTGGACCTACCAGCTGCCTTGACTGATATTGTGTTGGTTCAGTGTTGAGTGAGGGCACATCCAGTACCAGTAACTGTGCTTTATTCTGGCTCTCTCTAGGCAGCGTGCAAGTCAGCTGTGGCTTTTTTCCAGTTCAGCATCCTGGCCAATTACTTCTGGTTGCTGGTGGAGGGCATGTATCTGCAGACCCTGCTGGCCCTGACCTTCGTCTCTCAGAGGAAATACTTCTGGTGGTACATCCTGATTGGATGGGGTGAGTAGGGATGACTGAAGAGGTGGCAAGCCCCTGACACACTGCCAATCAAGTCATGTGTTAAGGCCGTTGGCCTTATATAAGCCTATAATGTGTATATTCATAACACAATTGGTAAAGCTGTCCCACAAATACACAATGAATTCAAAAGGGGCCTCTGTTGTTCTATCAGTGAGCTTAATTGGGGGTGCAGACGGGAAAACATTAACTTTCTTAGAAAGCAAAATTTTTGCTGTGTGTCATTCTCAAGTGTTTGACCGCTGGCCTGTTTTCATTGAAGTGTGTTTTTGATCATCATTGATAAGCCTGTGACTGAACTCCAACTCACCAAAAGCTCTGGTTCCTTTTGTTATTTCTCTCCAGTCTCTTATTTGTTCTCTGGTCTCGTTTCCGAAGTAGATCGTTCATAAAGCCCCTGGATACATGCAAATGTTTTGATTTACAATCTCAGAAGTTTATATCTGAGGAGAAAGAACAAATGTTTTAGAGTTTTTATAGTTGTTTTTATAGTTATTTAAAAATGTTTTGTTTTTGTCATGTATTGACAGTTTTAAACACTCACACAGGTTCAAATTTATATTCTTTTGCTGTTTTGTTGTGTGTCTTTTATTTTGAAATTTGTGTGTTTGAGGGGCAGCGTCTTTTAGAGGCTGTCCAACTATTGCATGCGTCTAGGGGGTGTGCTGATCTGACATCCAGTCCATTCACAATAATTGTGCATAGACATACATAAGAACACATCAATAGCAGCACCATGAGTCATGAAAAATGAAATCACCATCATCAGCACATGTCCAGATCAGTCATGTTACACAAAGTCAGACTCGCTGTCCAGGGACACTGACATTTTTCAGTCATTCAGTGCACTATTAATGCTAATAGTTATTAGGGGGGTCTCGGGTCTCTTCTGGGGGAGCCAGCCTCCCCTGGCTCCCTGTGATTCCAAAGCTGTTTTTACAAACCATGATGAAAGCCCTGTGCTCTAAAATGCTTTGGAGAAATAAAGAATATGCTTCCATTAATCAGCTAGTGTCGCCAAGTTTTTTCACTTTGCATCTTTGTTACTTGAAAATCTGGTTGGCACGATTAGTTGTGACACCACACACAACACATCATGATATACCGTCCAGCACACCAGTCCATTATGAAGCTTACACTTGAGACTGTGTGAGAGATGTAGTGATTCAGTGGGTAATCTTTGAGCCTGTTGTTGTATTACAGTAAGCTGAATAGTGTTGTGTGGTTTTCCTGTTATTTTGTCTACCTTTTGTTATTACACATGAATTCACATTTGGGTTGTAAATCTATTTTCAGGTGGTAATTCTGTCCCCAAAACCCGGCAACATTTTATTTACACGATAGCAGCGCCTGAGCAGCAACTGTGGCGGCACTTGCTCTCATTTCCTCAGCTCTCCCTTTGTTTTCTCCCTTATCTTTTGCTTCCCTGAGCTCTCTGTGGATGTTTCAGGTGCTTTCCCTTTATGTTATCCTGCGTTGCTCAGTCAACTGATTTCCATTGCTTATCCCATTCCCATCCCATTGTTTTTTTTGTTTTCTGTTGGCTGTAAATGCTTAAGACTGTACTCTCAAGTGGTTGTAGTGAAGTTCCACTTTTTATTTACACAATAGCAGCGCCTGAGCAGCAATTGTGGCTGATTTCCTCAGCTCTCCCTTTGTTTATCCTGTGTTATCCTGTGTTGCTCAGTCAACTGATTTCCATTGCTAATCCAATTGTCTTTTTGGTTGTTGTGTGCTGTATATGGTCTAGCCTGTACTCTCAAGTGCTTCTAGCACAGTTCCACATCAGCCACAATGTTACAGTACAATCGAGCAGCTACAGGCTGAGAATTCCTGAAAAGTTTAGCCATAACAAACTTTTTTGGAGGTCCTACTGGGCTTTTTGTTCTCCAGCTTATTGTAAGAGTCAATAAAACCTTGTAATGCTCAGCCAGTGGTGAGACAAGTGAGACAATGGCAGGAGTATATTTCTAAAATGGAGATAGATGAAATTTATGGCAGGATGTGGTGAAGTGTGGGAGCAGGAGGGATGCTCAGATCTCCATCTGTTTATCTGAGCAGATCCCCCGGGTGAACAAGGCCTTTATCAGCTGATAACTGTCTAATTAATTAACAGCTTGTTCCTCAGACAAGATCATTCAAGGTTTGGAGGTTTTGTCAACTGTTTTTTTAAGTGCAGTTATTAGACAAGCCAAACTGCATTAAGATGGTTGGAATAGCATTCCACAGACAGACAGCATGGAGTAGGAGGATGTTGGAGATGGCAACTGCAGACCATGGAGGGAGCATTTAAGTATCCTGTAAATCCATATCTGGCATTTGTAACAAACCAAAGTGCTGAAAAATGGGTTTATTTATATTCACTTGAAGGACATACGTGCACCCTTGACACATTGCAGTAATGAACAGCAGCAGCCAATGTAGTATCTATGTTTGGGGGAGAGCGGGGTGAGTTGAGCCAGTTTTTACTTGATGTGTCTTTAAAGTGAGGTGTTACCCCATATGAGGGGTAAGTTGAGCCAAGGGAGAGGATAAGTTGAGCCACATGGGGATCGGTGACATCTATGTTATTTTAACATGCAAACTCAAATGCCAGTTCCCAACACTTAATTTGCATTTAGTAGTGAAACATTGCAGCTATGTCTCCTAGTTGTTTCATATCAATGTATCGCTTTAAAGCCATCCTGTTTATCGTCATGTCTTTATCTGTCTCACCTTCCACCAGGTCCTTTGGCTCAAACTTACCCATTCCTGCCAATTTAACAAATTTGTGTCGTCCAGCAGTTTAAGAGTATGTCATGCTAATGGTATAGCCTCATATTGTAACTTTTGTAACTTCCTTAAGCACTAACACATGCGTAAGACTTTTTCAAACCTATCTGTAATTGTTCAGACACAAGAATCAGGACTCCTTGAACATAAAAAAATCACTTTGAACGGCAAAAAACTGTTTTTTAATCTTAAATGTGCTTATCACTTATTCCAAGGGCCTCTCTCCACCACAGGGAGAGAAAAATGATTAACTCTTCAAAAATATGTATTCATATAACCAACTTTGTCTATGGTTGCAGAGAAACAGGCTATATAATCACCCTGCTCTCCCCTATATATCTATGCATGTTAATAAACAAATATGTCAGCTTAGTTTAAACATTATCTTCCAAACCATCAGTATGCAACAAAACACAATCAAACCTGATTCAAATATAAAACTATGCACTTATAGCTAAAGTGCATATCTGTCTGTCAGTTTTTACAACCTGACAAGAAACCCAGAGAGTATGTTTGTGTGTGTGTTTGTAGCTCTGATGTGTCTTATCGGCTTCTTTCTAGTTTGTACTATGTTGCTCTCTCTCTGGTCTCCTGCTTTTATCCTGTGTCTGCTTCTTCTTCTGTCATGGAGTTGCAAGTGGGAGACAGATAAGTTACACAGAGTAAACACCATATTTTATATGCGTAACAACATTTTCTTAAAAAATGCAGTAAACATGTGAGTTGGGGGTTCGAATGTCGCTCGGATTAATTTTACATGACAGATACACAACACATTAATAATTAATCTCTGCTCTTATGTTGTAGGGCTCCCATCAACAGTTCTTATACTTTGGGTGTTGACCAGATTCTTCTATGATGACAGCGGGTATGATATATTACATGACATGCAGCAAAGCAGCTTATATATCCTTATAATATCAATGCTATGATAACATTGTACCACTGCATGTTAAACAGTAGTAGTAGTAATTATTCCGGTTTGTGTACTTTGATTTGAGTGTAACATTATCTTAATGCTGAATTGAATTTCATTTTTCTTCAATTGTAGCTGCTGGGACGACACAGACAACACTGGTATATGGTGGATTATTAAAGGACCAATGACAGCCTCGCTGCTGGTGAGTGGAGACAAAGTCCTTATAGTATCTTAATATGTCTCTGGTGGAGAGCACTGAAACTAAACATCTTCTGACCCCACACTTACGGTTGCTACATCTGTCAAACTCCACTCTCAAAGATGACTGGCTGATTTACTTTAAATTCTTGCTTATTTTTGAAAGAAAAGATCCTGCTTTTCACTCCATCCACCTGTTTTTATGCGCATTTTTGCTAATAAAACCTGAATGGAAACGCTGAACTAAATATATCATAAAAGAGTTTTTATACTTGGTTGAGAAGGAAAAGTTGGTGTATCGATAAAAACAAAATGTGGAAACAGGATATACATGAAGCATGACTTCAGCCGGAGATATTCTTGCTTTTAGCTACACGTTTCCATGAGCATGATGCGTCCATTGGGAGGGTTTTTTCATTAATACAGCTGTATGAACCCAAAGTAAACATTTTGCTGTGATTAAATAGCAATAAACAGATTAAACTGATGCCGAAATAACTACAACATGATACAGATTTGTTAAACATATGAATTCATGCTTTGTCAGGTCTGTCAGCAAGACAGCAGGACAACAACTTCTAAAATGTTTTTCTGAATGCAGTTTGGATCGATCAGGGCTATGCTATGCTAACTTGGTCACAGTAAAGTACAATGATAGCTGGAATAAAGTTACAGAGACATGTTTTCTGAACTCACCAGGTAGTTCAACCTCCTCGCTTTCTTTTCTCCAAGTAATGTCCAGTTTTGTCCGATTTTTATATAAAAATGAAGTAGTAGTCCAACAGAGCTAACGACACTAACAACAACATTGGAACCGGATGTGCACAGAAGCTAGCTGCTGAGAAGCTCCAGTGAAGATAAATCAACGTTATAATCCCAAAAACTAAAGTAAAAAGCTAATTTAATAAAAGCAGTTTACTTCCGAGCTCCTCCCACGAGTAAACGGTGTAGTTGTCAGAGCATAATCCAGACCGACTACGGGTGTTGCAGCGCTGCTCCCTGCTCCTCTCCCCCACGTTTAGCAGCTCTCTGCCAGCCAGCAGATTTTCAATCCCTAGCTCTGCCGGGCCCTCTCCACACATCCACACATCGCTCTGAAGCCCCCCTTCGTGTTGCTTCGCGCCGCCCGACAGGAAATCGCGGCTCTACGCGTCTTTGCATTGACTTTGTATGTAAACTCACCGCCCCGAACACTCGCTTCGCTTTGGTCTGAAAGCACCATTAGGCCCAAGTATTTACATGTAGCTTCCGATTATTGTTGCAAAGCTGTAATCGCAGTTTTCATAGCTTAATGTTAACTTTGCCAGCAACAACTGGTTATGAATTAAGGAACAAAAATGCTTCAAATTTTACATGTATCAGATATTAACATTCACATTGCATGCCAGTTGCTTACACCATGGATCGAGATGTGATATGAAGAGGACATTGGCGGTCCTTCACCAAGCCTTACATGCGATCCGGGTCCTTCACCTCATCTGAAGCCTCTATCGCTTGCAGTAGTGTTGTAGTACTTGACACCACTCTTGGTCTCAAGACCGGTCTTAGGACCACTTTTTGATGGTCTCGTCTCGGACTCGACCGTATTTGTACTCGGCCTTGTCTCGGTCTTGACATTGAGGACTCAGGATTTTTTTTCAAGACCACTAACTTTGGGAATATCAATAAATTGCTTTTGCATTGTCTGTTTATTTGATTTATTTGTTAACATCCAAACTTTGATTGGATGTAAAACTTATTGCTTCAGATGCAACCAATAACCCTAATTAAAAATGTGTTGTTACCATAAACGACTGTCCCCCCTTTACACGCACTCCAAATGTTAATAAATATTTGATTTAATTAATTAGAATCACAAATGAATTAGCACTCAATTTTTCTATTAAGATATTTATTTTGTTGAAAAGGGACTGAAAAACACATTTTACTTACTTTAACTCATTTTGGTGAAAAAAGATTTTATCGTAATAGTTTTGAATGTTCTGCCTCAGATTTGTGAAGTGATCCACTGTTTGGCATCAAGTGTTTGTTCTGACCATACAGAAAAGTTTAAAACCACAATTAACCATTTGTGTTTAAATTTGAAAGAAATAATGATTAATAATTATTGATATCGAATGATATCACATTATTGTGAAAACATTTTTGGACAGATCACGCAGCTTTAGTGTTAAGTGGTAAACATGGAAAAGGAGTATTGAATAAAGATGCTTGCTAAAGATTGTTGTGCTTAATTACGGTTGCTAAACTTTGATCGGACAATCGCTGTCTGAGTGAGGTGTTTAGCCAACGGTCACTTGCTAATATTGCTTTTATTCACAAATGCCAATTTAACATAGTATTACAGTCTGCTTTGTTAAGAGTGGTATTGTTGCATATTTAAATAGCTTTTGATGCATTAAAGTATTGTGTATTTTCTCTCTCTTTATTTAATAATTGTAATTGTGCATATGTGAACATCCCTACCAGGTCAACATTGTCATCTTCATCAACGTGATCCGGATTTTGGTTCAAAAGCTTAAATCTTCAGCCATGGCCGGGAACAATGACACTGGACATTTTATGTGAGTCACAACTTCTGCAAGGAGTGCTTTTCTTAAACACACACAATACAATAAAAAGGTAAGAGTTTGGGTGATGCAGGGAGCTGCCGCAGCAAATGGTGTATCGGCAAAGTGAGTGAGAAGTGTCAGGTTGGTTAAGGCTGCATGATATTGTGATTGGATAATACTTCCCAGTAGGTAGGCAAACAGCTTGAGAATGGACCAATGATTGTGAGGTATTAAAGAAGGAGCTGATGCCAGCAAATGCAGGTGCAACTATAGAGCTCTGCCTGAACTGCCTTTAGTTCACTTCCAGTTCATTTATATATTTAGGAAGTAAGAGGATTTTCATTCCTGAAAATTACATACTTATGGTGGTGACCTGGCATGATTTGTATTGCATAATGCCATTTACTGATCAGATCAGTTATATCATGTTATCCCATAAGATATAGTTATATGAGACACATACTGATTAAGGCAGTAGCTTTGAGATTAAAAGTCAGTAATACTCATTTAAAGGACATTAATTTTGATGATCTGTAATGTTTGTATTTTAAAGGTAAAATGTGTAAGCTAGAACCAGAATTATAGTTTAAAAACATAAAAAAAATTGACTAAAATTATCAACCAAATGTAAAGAAGTAACAGTTCTGACATTATGTCAAAAAACGAAGATATCTACAGAAGTTAGCATGCTAACCTGCTAGCCCCAGCGTGCCCTGTCTTGTACCTCAAGAGGTATGTGAGTGGTGAGTTTGCTGCATTACACAAACTCTCTAGCTTTTTGTCTAATAAATAAAAAAAATTTACTCATAATATGAAAAGAAATATTCTTACACCTATTTTTATTATCAAACAGAAAAATTCAACTCTACACCTTTTGAATTCAAGTTTCTCTCTTTCACAGAACTTGTTAACTCACTGTAAAATACACTTAATTTGAACCTTTAACCTTTTAGAGCTCTTAAAAGAGGAAGCCACCTTAGTATAACATTAGATGCAATACATAAAACCCAAGCATCAAATCTACTGTAGCGGCCCACTACTTTGGTCCAGACTGAAATAGCTCAGCTATTTTGCACAGACACCTAGGGTCCCCAACAATATTTCCTAATGACTGATGATCCCCTGAATTTTCCTCTAGTGCCACCACAAGGTTCATATGTGTGGTGTGAAGTGGAATGTCTTGACAACTACTGGCCTTTTTCATGGAAGACATTTATGTTACAGCTGGAAAAGCTGGAAAAATGAATGATGGACAAATTCCATTTAGCTGCTTCAGTTTCAGAGTCCTGTTCTGCATGCTGGATCACTGTCACACTATCATGGCTTGCTGGGACACTGGAGCCATCATTAATGTTATCAATCACACCTGTGCTTAGGACCAAATGTCCGCTGTTAAAAAGGTCTATTGGCTGGCTTTCTATTAGATTTTCCACCTCATGATGAATTGTAATAACTGGTGATCCCCTGACTTTCCATCAACTGTCCTTAGTGGGTAATTTATTTCATTTATTCAATTTGCCAATGCTGAGCTAAACATGTTTACTAACCTCAGGTTACTAACCTAGTTTGCGTGCAGCGCTTCTTTGTTTGGGCCTTGTTTCTATGAAGTTTTAAAGCCAAAGTTTATGATGAATGGCACAGCAGCTGCCGGTGTCTGTTGTCATGTCTCACGTGCAGCAGATACGTAGTATGTGTTATGTAGGTAGGTTGTAGGTAATGCAGGGAGGGGAATAACAGCAAGCTCATCAGAAAAATAAACATTGTTCATGTCCCGCACCTCGAGTCTGAGTCAGGGGAGTGAGGACAAGTCTCAAGTCACATCTGAACTCGGACTCGAGTCAGAGTCCCCATCTCTGGACGTAGGGTCATTTTACCATTATTTCTAATGGAACTGGACTTCTTTTTGTAACCAGGAGAGTCGCCCCCTGTTGGCTGTTCAATAGAATGCAGGTTTAAGGTAATTGTCATTGTGAATATTTTGCATTGTGAATGTTGGTTAACATGCTTATGTTAGCATTTAAGTCAAAGAACTGCTGGGCTCACCTCATAGAGGCACTAGCATGGCTTTGAGAATATTACCACACTTGCAACACAATAGTGAGGTGCAAGAAAGATCACAAAACATCAAATATGAAGAAAAGAAGGCTCTCCAATGAAAGTATTTCATTTTTAAGTCAAGCTGTCACTGAAGACCTTCACTATGGAAAATGACATTTGGAGTGGAAGTGTGCAGAGCCTCCTTTTCTCTATATAATATATTAGGAGACAAAGTTAAGTTTTAAGTGCTTCTTTCAAACTATAAAACAGTGTTTAGGTAGAACTGCTGAGTGCAAATGAATGTGGTGGAAATGGATGGCAGTTTATTTGAAGAGTTTACTATAAAGAGGGAAAGGTGAGTGAATTGATGAAATCATTCATAAAATGATAAATTCTTCCTTACGTTCTAAGAGAGAAAATGCTGCGTCTATGAATCTGCTCTGGGATCCCAGAAACACTGCTTTAACAGAATGAATCCTTCTTTCCTTTTGACATTTGGTTGGTGCAGATTCCAGCTCAGCTGAATCAATTAAGAATGAGAGTAGCACATAAAAATAGCACCGGATACCAGAAATAGATGTCTCCTCCATCGGCGTGCGACATGACTGTTCTACCTTTTCAATGCATGTTTTCACACTTCATCTCCGTCTTACAAACTTCAATCTGATTCAGACGGATCTGTGACATTAACACAAAGGCACAAATCCAAGGTGTGACAAAAGGCAAACACAATCCTATCATAGGCTTGAACATAATCTGGTTTGTGTTTGCATCTTTAATCTTTCAGCAGCCAAGGTGGTGATGTTATTTTGGATCAGAATGATTATTTTGGTTATTTAGAATATTCAGATGACTAAAACTATATTATCACATCCTTCTATGTGTGACAGCTTGATGGAGAAGCTTTGAATATGATCTAATCATCAGAGAACAAGACAGTGTGCAAACATCTTTGTTGAGGTTGTTTAAACTGCTGTTTATTGATCTGTGACAGATTGTTTTGAATTAGTTGTGAGATCATTAGATATGTGCCCAGATGGTTTACCATCTCTGTGACATGAAAGAATAAAATGAGAAAAAGAAGATTAAGAGAGTATGGGGTATTAATCGGTGGCTGTTTTCTAAAATGTATCACAGAGGTGGAGTTATTGTATCTAAACCACATGACTTGCAGCACTTTGGTGTAATAATGTAGTGTCACTAAAATAAATAACATTTACACAATATTTAGACATATCTGGTCTGGTTTGAACTAAGCTTTGAGCACTATGCATCAGGGTTTTGTATTTTGACATTTTAATGTACTGATTGGCCTTCTTACAGTGTTGTTTTAAAGGTCAGTTTGTTTATTAAAGATTTGATATCTATCACATCCGGTCTACCTCTGATGAAACTTGGCAGAATAATGCATTTTGCTTTTGTATCGTGGCATTTGAAACATAAACACTGATTAGACTGACACTGATAAAGGTGAATATTTTGAAAGGCCATAATTACCTCATTTTCAGATTTTTTTTGTTGACCTGATACAGCTCACTTTAAGGCTCTTGAAAACTTGGTTTGAAATATTCAGGTTTTCTTTGAATATTAATAAACAAACTATCAAAGTCAGAGTAAAAGAAACATAGTTATTTTAATAAGCAGCTTGCTTCATCAGGACAGTGTGGGTGTGGTTTAATCAGATTTGACTGAAATTAGCCAGGCAACAAATCTACAGATGCCATGACACCTGACTGGTGCATTGGGGTATGTGACATGACCTTTTTCCAACTGAGCCCCGTCCACTTCAAAACACTAAAACTAAGGGGCGCAGATAAAAAAAGAAAAAAAAGACAGCAATCTCTCACATGAAACAGCACTGTTCATGAATGACCCATCGCTTAGAGTAAGTAAGAAGCTGGAATGTGTTTTCAGGGCCTTTTAATTTGGATTAGCCCACGCTTGTCCCATTACATTACCTAGACTCTATAGTCTTTCTTCTTTCTTTCATTCCTCTGTTGTTTGTTTCCCTCAGGAGGCTGGCTAAATCCACCCTGTTCCTCATCCCTCTGTTTGGGATGCACTACACAGTATTTGCCTTCCTGCCAGAGAACACTGGAGTGGCAGCCAGACTCTACATCGAGCTGGGGCTGGGATCCTTTCAGGTATAAAACAGAAGAGAGGGAGCAGAACAAAAACTCCAGACCTAAAAACTATATTAAGACAGATTACAAAAGGTTTACAAAGAGGAACTGCTTAAAATAAGATACTCTCATGCTTGCACTTAAACCCAACCCTACTTATTAACAGTTTGGTCACTGCAAATACTGTCTAAAATTTAACATGTAAATGACAAGTAAATGAAAACATGAATACTTAAAAATGTCACTTGAAGTGTATAAAATGGAAAGGAATAAAAACTGACAGACCAATCTGAAAGTGGTTTTCAAAAAAGCGCATCATAGGATAAATTTACACCCAAGAGCTAACTTAAAATGTAAAAACTGTACAAGATCTGGACGATATGGAACAAAATCTTATAATACTTTTTTAGACTGAATTCCGATACAGGATCGGTAATTTTTACGAAGTGAGCTAAATGTTCATTTGTATGTCAAAGCCAAAATTGAGATGTGGGATATCTTTTAAATCCAAAATGTATGTCCAGTATTTATATACTATTTCTACCAGCTTATTTCTACTTCATTCTCCACCTTCTTTTATTGTTTACTCACTAATTTAATCTGATCCCTTTCCCTTCACTTCTTTTTTCCCCACACTCACAGACCTAACATACTGCTGCAAACACATCAGTGTGCCCCGCCTCTTTCTGTCTCTCTCTCCTTGTATATGTCTGTTCTGCTGACTTTCTTCATCAGTATTAGGATGCGTTATATAAAGTCGCAGAAAAAACTCAGAACACGTCTTCTGGTCTTCTCTAACTCAACATCAAACTATATTGATATAAACTGTTTTGTCTGTCTTTTGAAAATCTATCGGTATACCTTACAATACCGATATACCTACAATCTGCACTTACCTGATTCAAGTAATACAAGTGTATATAAGATTAGAGTGTTGTGATTTTAAAACAATCACCATATATCTTGTGTTGCAGGGTTTTGTGGTGGCTCTACTTTACTGTTTCATGAATGGAGAGGTAGGTGAATGTAGGTGACAGTTTTGTGATGCAAAAGTCCTACAAACATAGACACACAAACAAACTACCTAAAGCTCTAACATCTGTGCAGATAAGCACAAGTTTATATAAGCATAAGTTTTACAGCACACATTGCTACACTATTTGCCACAGTGTCTTTTCTGCAACTGCTATATCCCCAGTGAGTGAGTATTTACGCCTCCAATACAGAGTGAGTATTTACGCCTCCAATACAGCTCTGCTCACGTGTGTTTGTCTGCAGGTCCAAACAGAGCTGCGGAGATGGTTGTGGAGGTGTCACAATCAAAATCCTCTCACCCCAGCCAAGCAAAGTATCACTCAGATCACAGTTCGAGCCAGCGGGGGGCGGCCACCTTCCAGTGGCAACATCTCTTCAGTATAATTTTATGAGACCATCCATGAGAGTGTGAGAATGTCATGCAAAATACCAGAGGAAGTTTCAAAGCTCACCCTACTAATGACAGTAATTCAACAATCCCTCTGAGAGAGGACCATAATGAACACTGGAGAGTGATTGAAGAAGTGTTGTGTCAAGATACTTTATTATCAGTGTCAGCAGCAACTACGGCCATTACAGCACACATTTCAGAGCTTAATCACATTGTGGTCTGTCTTCCATAATGGTTCAAACCAAAAAAATACCAAAACCTTAAGGAACTCTGATACTTGATTTGTAAAAGGATGTTATGATGACACTGTGGACCGCAGTAGAGACAGAGCTGGTCCTGAGTTTGAAGCAGGATGATTGGACCACCAAAATGAACAAATATTGAGGGATTAGATAACTGTGGAAACAATGAACTTGGCAAAATTATGCAAAATTAGGCCTGACTAATTGTGAGCAGTTACACTATATCAGTGCAAGGTGAAAGTATGTGCAGGACAGATCTGGAGAGAAAGTGCAAATTGATTTCTGCACAGCAATTCACCTGCTGCCAGGGAGAAAATTTTAATCATGAAGATCCAGAGGGACCTGAGCGAATGTACTTTGTGTGAAGTGGCCACATATTGGGTATTTTGAGGAGTTGTCTGCTTTGATGAGCATCTTTTAAAAACAGTAGGCCTATTTGTAAATATTGATAAGCTTATTTTTCTTCATCTGCCATTTTTTATGCTGTTGCCACTTGTGATAATCCAAATTTTTCGGGACATATGTTGCACTGCAGGAGATACCAAATTTACAAGCAGGGTGCTAGGCAATTACATGGTAAAATGGCATCAAAATGGTACTATATGGGGAGTTACAGTTTACATGTAATGGCGTTACGTAATCAGGATACAAAAACTGTATTCTGTTACAGTACAGAAAAAAGAAGACATAATCGTATTTACAGGTACATTTTGTAAAAACAGGGGTTACACACAAAGTTTCCATGAAATGGAAAGCGGAGTGCTATTTACTATTTATTTGTCGCAGATATTGATCGGCGTGTAGCCAGTACTTGAATGGGGTTACGCCTCCACCCCTTCATGCTTACCATAGATTGTTTATAAGAAGTGGACTTAGTCATCGTGACGTCACCTGTTGGTTTGTGGACTGCTGTTTTGAAGCCTTGAGTTTGGCCGATAGGGCGCCGCCATGTTAAGTTTTTGCAACCAGTGGCACCGTATGTGACACGGGCTGTTTCTCAATCTGCATTCTTGTCTGTACTTGTGTTCTTGTGGACTTGTGAAACGTCATCAGTCGCAGTCAAAGTACTGTTCCAATTCAAAAGTCTGCATCTAGCCAAGTACAGTCAAATACCTGGATGTGTTCTTGCTCCGCCCATTTTACCGAGCCTGCATCGGTGGTGACTTGTGTGGACTTCGGATCGCCAGATATCCCAGAATGCATTTCGCCGCCAAAAAGCGGAATTGTCGGACGAGAAAACTCAGAACTGTAACTTATAATACTGCTGTTCTTGTGTCACATATAGTAGTTTTAAGAGTTTTTAATGCGGGAATATAATTGTTTAAACTACAAATATGAGGTTAATTTCTCAAGACATAGCTGATTTAAAAAATTGCTACGATGTTTTCGGAGATGTGAGGTCCCGCCCGCTAACGGGTCTGGCCGTCATCAAGTCTCGGGAGACTCTCAGCTCGGGAGTTTGTACTCCCGATCCGAACTTGCCAAGTCCGAGCTTTAAGGTACAGAAGTCCGAACTTGGCGAACTCGGTGTTGAGAAACAGCCCATATTTGGATGAGACGGTGGCGCTAACGGCCGTGTGGAGCTAGCTAGCTTGCTTAGCTAGATGCATCTGTATTTCACATCATTTTAACAGGGCTGACAATTTTGTCTATGGAACAACAGGCTTACAACTAAATGTACTCACCGGAGAAAGTGAACAGTTAACTCCTAATAAGCTTGGAAACGACTTGTCAATCATAGATAATCCCGCCCTGAAGCATACTCTGCTTTATGGTCTATTTTCCTTTAAATGGGACCATATTTCCTAAATGAACATCATGTTGTGTTGAAGAAGACATGAAACTAGCGACCATTAAAACGCATTAGGAAAGTGTTTACTGAGGTAATTATTCAGGTGAGAAGTAGGGTCATTTTGGTCATTTTGCCATTATTTCTAATGGAGCCGAACTTCTTTTTGCAACCAGAAGAGCCGCCAGCTCAATAGAATGCAGGTTTAAGGGACTTCACGTCTCAGACCGGAAGCTTCCCGCTTGATGGAGACTCTGTGTGGACTGATTCCAGCTCCCAGTTAATGAACACGGAAGCTGGACCCGGGACCAAACACAGCCTCCGAGACCGTTGACCACTGGGAATACAGTACGAAGGTGGTTTTCTTGCCGGTTTGGCTCTTGTCATCCCAGGGCTGAGTCAACTAATGAGACTGTGTTGGGATCTGTTCATGTTGTGTTCACTTGGAGGCTGCTGAGCGCAGTTTCATTGCCTGCTTGCCCGGCGATGCTCCCCGCAATCATTCCTTGCCGGGCCCTCCCGTCCCTGGCCTGAAAACCTCCAGTGCTTAAGTAAAGGTGTAAACTTAAACACACACTCCGGTGCTCCGAGTTCACAGTACGGGCAATTATATCTGTGTTTTATCTCTCACAATATCCTCTGCGGCTTTGGACAGCACTTACCTGTGAGTGTTTTTGTTTTTTTTTAAATTTGAAATGAGTCACTGTGCCACAAATCTTCCACTGTCACTAGTTATGGCACTACACGAGTGAGCTAATTTGACCAGTAGCTGCAGGCTAACTGAGATAATTAGGTAATGGTAGCTAGTTAGCAGCAGTTAGCTGACTTGCTACAGAAACAAGTAAACCTATCTGTCCATCAGGGAACTCCACAGAGTTGAGGCAGAGCAGCCGGGGAACATCTGAGAGAAAATCACATAATATTTTTCATCAAATCTGATCTGTTTTTAGCAGTGCTCAGTCCCAGAAACTATTTTTTAGCAGCTTCTTAAAAATTAAGACAGCTTTTCATTGGTCACTAAATTAATACAGGCCTGCCAGTGTAGGATGATTCATCAACATTTTAATCTAATTTTCCAGGACATGACACAACATACAAAAGAACATTGTTTGTCATTGATGGGCCAGTTCCTGCCATATGACATATGCCCAGTGTAAGGCATAGTCTATCATATAAAAACATTTAAGGGTGAGTGAAATTGAGTTTGTAACTCCCCTCTGCTACAGCAGCGCTGAGGATGAATAGGTTTAAAAGTCTGATAGCGTGGGGGAAAAAGCTGCTCTGCAGTCTGGTGGTTTGACAGCAGAAACTTCTATATCTCTTCACAGAATGCAACAAGGTGAACAGGCTGTGGCTGGGTGGGTACTGTCCTTTATTATCCTTTGGGCTCTGCGTAGGCATCACCTCAAAGATATCACTGATGCTCGGGAGATGGGTACCAATGATCTTCTGAGCAGTTTTAATCACCCACTGCATACAACTGTATGTTTCTGTAAAAACTGAAGCATACCATGCATCTTTGATACTGTCTTGTCTTTATTTGTGTATTTGGTATTGAAGTAATCCAAAAGTAACTATAAGTAATCAGGTTACATTACTTTTATTTTGTGGTATTTGGATTACATTACTGATTACATTTATTAACAAGTAATTAGTAACTGTACTGGATTACATTTTTAAAGTAATCCTCCCAACCCTGTATATAACTAGACGAACCATTTAAACTAACACAGTGACAGCGTCTGAAGATACACATTGTGTTTATATCCAGTGTTTTCTCTCAAGATGTCACCAAAATCTTAATTCCCCACATTTTGTTGACAGTGGTGGAGAAAAAATGTGATTGTGGCGCATCCCTAGTGTTTTAAAAAAAACTTTTTATAGACTGCAAATTATGTGCTGCACAGAAAAGCACACAAGTCATTGTCAGCACACAATACGATGTAATGTTGCACTTTATTTTACATTATATTATATTTACATTGTTGTTCTTGTGGATTTAGTGAAGGTTGGCCTGTGTAGGGAATAAAGCATGGTAATAAATTAAATATCTGTGTTTTGAGAAGTATTGTTCTTGAATTTGACAAAATACTAGTATTTATTATCAACGTGTAAGTTTGCTTTTTAGATAGTAGAATTGAGGTAGAAAATGCGTGGGGCAAGATTGTTCATATATGTTTAAACGGATTTTTGGGTGCCCAAGAAACTTACTGCAAAGATAAAAATCAGAAAAGACAATCAGCAAACAAATTGGTTTTAAACAAGGATCTTATTCAACCCAAATAAATTTGTACAAAATAATTTTCTCTTAATAAAAACCAGGTAAAACGTGAAAACAGTGTAGGCTAAAATCTACTGCCAAATTTGTAGGCCTACACTTTCCATTTTAATAATATTAATATAGTTAGTCATTTAGCTGATGCTTTTATCTAAAGTGACTTACAGTTGCTTTATATGGCAGAAGTTGCACGCCTCTACTCTACTAGGGGTTAAGTGTCTTGCTCAGGGACACATTGGTGGATGTCACAGTGGGAATGGAACCAAGGCCTCCCACACCAAAGCCATGTGTCTTATCCACTGTTCCATCACTACCCTGTTTAATTGATGGAATAACTGAAATAAATCAGTCTCAACAAAACACAAAAATTTACCACATATATTTATTTTGCAGTCAAATTTACACAATCCGGGACATGAATGTTGGACACTAGAACGCATGTTACACATGACACACTGTAACAGGTAGAACATAATATGGATGAGGGTTTATAGATAGGCTATTCTTTTGACATTTAAGTTACTTTTATCTCCATGAATGCTTGTTATTACATACACATGCGCACAGAATACACTCTCTCCAACTTTCAAACATACTCGCACACACACTCTGAAGACAGTTACATAAACATAGAAAAACACAGTCACAAACATTACAGGTCTTCCTCAAGAGGTCCACCTGTGTGCCCAAAAAATATATATACATTGTACTGTATATATGATCAAGAAAAGACATCATTTGTACACTATGGCAAATTGATAGCAGGCGACATTTAAGAGCAGCTGAGCAACATCGGTACATTCAAAAATTCATTGGCAATCAATAGAACTCACACACATATGCTCACCACTATAAAACTGGCTCAACACACAACCGCCAAAGAAAATGCATCTAAACATAGAGATATGCCACACTGAGAATAGTTACATTTAACGGAATAGTTTGACATTTTGGGATAGACACAAAATATTTGTTTTCTTGCCGAGAGTTAGATGAGAAGATTGATACGACAAAGACTGTACATAGTGGAAACAGCTAACTCGTTGAGTTCAGCTAGCTAAGATTTACTAGGTGGATAGGCTACAACCACAGTCCTTACATACAACTAAAAAGCTAGCTAGTAGATATAAGCTAGCTAATAGTTAATGTAGCTAGCTTATCTTATATCTTACTAGCAGATATCAGCTAGTACACATTGTTTATTATATTTTTTAAGTGTAGAAATTTGTTGTGGTTTCACAGGGAATTAAGTGAGCTGAGGGTTCCTTTGGACAGAGTCAGGCTACCCATATCCCTTTGCCTTTAGTATTTGTGCTAAGCTAAGCTAAGATGCTGCTGGCAGTAGCTTCATATTTAGCATACAGACATGTTAGTTGTAACAACTCATCTAACTCAGTAAGAACACGAATGAACATGTTTCACAAAATGTCAGACTATTGCTTTAAGAGAACATGTCAGGCTTTTCTTTGACACATATATAAGTGTATTACTGTAATGCTAAACTAACTGTAAGAGGTGTGTGTGTAGAGAGGTGTGGTTAGCTTTAGCCAAAACTACAGCTATGCAGTATAAGTAACATTCCCTGATTTTGTTATAGCACTAGAAAATGTCCCAGATTCTCCAATTTCCTCCCATAGAATAAATGTTTTAAAATTCAAAGACTTCACAGTTTGTTTTGAAAATAGAGTGAGCAGGAAGGACATTTTGGGTCACCTACTTCTATTGCACATCAGACCTCATTTTGAAAAAAAATCTAATTTGTAGGCTTGTTTGTTGATTTGAAAAATTTCATAAGGTACATGTGAGCAATGTTATGCATGTGGCATATAAATACCTCAATGCCTCACCCTACCCCCATTTCACCCAAAATTCAAAGTACAAGGCTCAAAAAGCAAATCACTGCCAGTTCCCCTTCTCTATTAAACTAAAATTGTTACACTTGGCTGCCATCTTGTGGCAGACAAATATACAGCACATACATGTTCAAGTAAGGAATTTTCTACTCTTCTTTTCACAGACACTAACAGCTTTGAGACATGGTCGTTTCCATCTGAGCTGATTCAGACTCAGAGTGACGGCTGGTGATAGAACACTTAAGCAGCAGCAGAGTGGTTTTTAATGACACCCTAGTACACACTTTGTGTTTTATCTGTTGCGGTTGTAACACCTTCTAAAACCTTCCTAATTAAAAAAAAAACTTTCTGCCTCTGGCACTAGTTCACAGGTTATTATCTTGTCTTACAGTCACACACTTTTTTTGTCCAAAACCAGCCAAGCAGATGCATAAAATTGATGCATCTCTTCAGTAGTATGTTTTATCCTGTTTTTTTAGAAATTATATCTGTGTTTTATCTCTCACAATATCCTCTGCGGCTTTGGACAGCACTTACCTGTGAGTGTTTTTGTTTTTTTTTTAATTTGAAATGAGTCACTGTGCCACAAATCTTCCACTGTCACTAGTTATGGCACTACATTTATGGCACTTTGACCATGAAAGTCAACATCAACTAATGTAATGAAAACATACATCAGGCAACAACTAAATTACACATAAGAAAGCATGTATACTGTACATTGAATTCACATGACACTGATTCATGGAAAATAAATATACATCTATTCAATGATATTGTCAATTCATTGTTTAAAGTTACTACATTCTTGTAATCCATTCAGATGACAGTACAAAAAATAAATATCTTGAGAAAATATTGTGGAGAAATCCTCCTGTACACATCACTTCACATTTTACCCCATTAAATAATTTCCCCATCTGGACAGTTATTGTTTGTTAGCTTGTTTGTGCACAAAAAGAAAGAAAGAAAAAATGGGCAAAAATCTGCGATTGTCAACAGCTGTTATATTAAAGCATTTTGTGTTAACTATTACAACATGTAATGTTTCTATAATGAAACCGTTGGTCCGGGGTGAAATGGTCTTCAGTTATGTTGAATAGATGATAGTTGTGTCTCTGGTTGTGACCAAGTGGCTAAATTAAGCAGCAAAGATGTCATGCTATTACCCAAGTCTTGTCAAGCTTATCATGATTAAAAAGAAAAAAAACACACAGGAGGATTCTTCACTTTAAGTGTAAGTTAATAAAAAGAGAAAAAAAAGAATTTCACCAGTAGATGAACAAAATATTTTTCTTTAAAAGCAGCACACAATGAAACAACTTTGCAAAGTGATCCACAATAAAATACACCACTCTACATTCTTTCCAAGAACACAAACATTAATACACCTTTAAGATAATTGTTCATTGTACTGCAAATAAAAGTGATAGCTATTTGTGACTGACTAGGCACTTTGGAATATGAGTGTAAGAGATGGTTCATTCAAAAGGTTAAAATTATAAGCTATTTAATATGGCACGATGGGTTGAGGCTCAGGGAAAAGAGAGCAAGACAAAGAGTCCAATAAAATGCTGTACATATACTGTAAACCCATGACACTATGAGGAGCTCTGGATAGAAGCATCCACTAAATAGCACATGTTCACAGTCTGCAAGAACATGAAAACCAACTGGAGGAAACTACTGTAGCTTAAAGGCTCCACACTGACACTAGCTGTGAGGATAAATCACTTCAAAAAAAAGTTTCAATCAAATGTTGTATTGTATATATGGTGCTATTCTCACAGCAGTGCTTCCCGATATTTTTTGTTTAGTGACTCTTTAAAAACAAAAGTCAACTCACGACATCCTCACATCAAGTTTCTTAGATGGTTTAATTAGAATATTTTTAGAAGCCTGCAGATGACGAGAAAAAAAAGCTCAAATAAATGTCCTAACGTAATTTAATAGAGCAGAAAAATGTTGTAACTTGTTGTATCTGAGATCTCATCACCCTTCCGATTCATCTTGTGACTCCCAGGTTGGGAACCACTGCCCCACAGTGCTCATTCATTCTGGCACTATGTTCTTAATTAATTAATTAAGTTAATACAAACAAATAGTTTAGAATATTGGGCTGGATCTTCTGGGTCCTCAGGATATGTGATGAAGTCTACAGATTTGGGCTCCAGTTCCTTTTGTTTGAAAAGGTTATTACAATACTGCATTATGCAAAACAGAGACATTTTGAACTAGACACCAAAAGTAACTATTTACAAAGTCCATGAGTTTTTTTTTTTCAATAAATCTTTTGACATACTCTGTACTTATGGCTGATTGTAGAAAAATGTTTAAATTTAAGATGAAACATTTAAACAATGAGCATTTGTACAAGCAAGGCGAATGTTTGGTTGTTATTTAACTTTGGATTGTTTTGAGATCAAACCCAGGCAACCTGTACGGCACTTTGAAGCACATTTACTTTACACACCAGCAGCCATCTATGACCCCTACATTTCATGTTTAACTATTGTTTGGTTTTTTTGTAACAGGGGCTAAATTTAAAATGAAGGGTCTTAAGTTCACAAATCTATAGAGCCAACTAAAATACTCAAATAAATTAAATTTATAGAGTATAGAAAAATTAAATTATCAAGTATGAAAACCAGCTTTGCACCGCTAATGAATATCTAGTAAATGATTTTAGAAATGTTGATGCTTTTTTCTAAAGGCCAATCTACACAATTTAAGAAGTGTGAGGGGCCACTTTGGTCTGTTCTGGTTGGTCTGGATGTACAAACGTGGAACGGCACCTTGAAGTTGACTCCTGCCAATCAGACGCTCAGGTCGGGAGGCTGATGTTGGCGTTCTCCGCCAGCGGGCTTGACATGCGTATCTGGGAGCTGCTCTTGCTGAGGATCGACAGCTGAGTCCCGCCGTTCACTCCACTGCTCGCCAACGAAGGGTGCCTTTGCTGCTTCAGGTCCACAGCAAAGTACCGGTTCACCGTCCAGCTGCGCCATTTCCTCTTGATCTCCGACTGCACCTTCAGGGAGAAACTTCACAAGGTCATTTTTAATGTACTTTAAGCTGTACCAGCTCCACGAAAAGGTACAGTACACTTGTGTTGTGTGGGTAACAGTAAGTGGAGTATAAACATTTAGTGAATGATTGACAATAGAATATAGCAAAGCTGTAAAATAAGTCCTATTTTACTCATGGGCTGTTTTTTTAGCATTGTGGTATGCAGACCTACTGTATGTTTAAAATCCGTTTTGTTTGTTAATTTGTAAAAATTTATTTGAGAGCAGATGTCATATCTTCCATCAGTAAGTGAGGCCTTACAGAGTTACAGCACATTACGTTAATATTCATTTGGAAAAAATTATAATAAATGTATGTTCTGTGTTAGGTTACACTATGAGACTAGGGATGTACACACACAGTATTTATTAATTAAATATATTAATTTAAGTATTTGTATTTATTAATGAAACACCAATTCTGGTTAAACAAATTAATTATGCATTTCTTTTTGATAATTACATTTTATTTACTCTTTATGACAACTGAGCAAACTCCATGAAGTTACGACTAAAAGCACATTGAAAAAAATCTAGAAAGTGAAACTTGAATCAACAATTTTTAATAAAATTCTTTAAAGGCATTTATAAACCGGTTAAAACTTGCCTGTGAATAATTTATACATAAACAATTAATACATTTTTATAATACTTGTTAAATTATATATCATTAAATATAATTACAATTATTATATTATTGTTATAATATATTATATGTTATAGTGTGTTATCAATCATTTATTAATGCCAGTTACTCATGTGCTATGTACATCAATATAAGGTATAATAATTTAGAGCATTTCTGGTACACGTCAGAAAATAACAAGTTGATCAAAATGTCACAAAGTGTTCATGAACAGTGACAAAAGCTTACCTCTCCATTGAGGAAACAGTAGAGGACAGCTACAACAAAGCCCTGAGGAGGAGAATATTCAATTCAGTTCAATTCAATTTTATTTATACAGCGCCAAATCACAACAACAGTTATCTCACAGCGCTTTTCATAAAAGAGCAGGTCTAGACCGTACTATATTATTTAGGTAAATTGGGATAAATATTGGGTTTTGAGTAGAATGATAGGATATTCTTATTTGTTGCATTCCAATTCTATGGCTTTGCTGGTAAATGTGTGTATTTTTGCATAAAGCTGTGTCTTTCAAATGCGGAAAGAAATTTATAGAAGAAGATTTAAATGGTGCATATAAAAAAGCATAACATTCAGGGCCGCAACATGTCCATAATCATTTGTATTACCCATCAATCTGCAGTTTAAATAATCAATATTTATAATGTATTTTGAAATAGTTAGCAAGTCGTCTTATTTGATAAGCTGGAATGACTGATTGATTATCAAAATAGTAGCAATCATTTAATCGACTAATTGTTTAAACACAAATAACGAGACATATATCAAAAAGGGACTATTAAAGTGTAGTACATTATAAAATATCAACAAATATCTGTAAAAATTGAAGCTAAAGATACGTCTTTTCTTAAAATAAAAGAACAGACAGCGATAATCTTAATTTGTCTCTATATGATCTGACCGAGATATTCTGTCACCAGCAGTTGGTTCTGCCACTATTTAACTGACATTGTTATATCACAATATGTTCTCTCATTCATCCTCTGGTATTTTCCAAAGATTGTATATATTTCCTTTAATTGATACCAGGTGTTCGAGGAGCTGTTAGAGTTATAAAAGCGTACCTGGAAGGATCCAAGTCCCAGTTCGAAGACCAGTCTCTCCCTTTTGCTGACATCTTCAGGTGAGAAGGCGAACACCGTGTAGTGAATACCAAACAGGGGGATGAGCAGGAGGGTGGAGCGCGCCAGACGCCTATGCACACACACGCGCATTCACATAACAACAACAAACACACCATTTAATAAGATTGAGGTGCAAATCAAAGTCATGTTTTACTGGTTCTGGTCAGCTGGATGTTATGCAAGAACAGAGCTACTGATGTATTGCAACAACACATTTTCTGACCAATCTCTTTCTGACTACATTCACACGCAGGTTTTACTTTTAGCCACAAATTTAAAAACAAAATAATCTCTCTCTCAAGTTCAATCAAGGCATCTGTGTTGTTTAAAATGCAGGCTCAGTCACAATTCTATTATCCATTAAAATGATGAGGCTGGAGTTTTTCCATATTTTTCTTTTTCTCAAAAAGACAAGAAAAGAAAAAGACCAATAATGAATTGATCTTACACATACAGAAGAGTTTTATTTGTGTCCTTATCTTGTCCTATCTCATGCAGCAAAATATAGTGTCTGACATACACATATGGATAAATGACACCTTAAAATAATTAAAGACATGAATGTGCGACACAGTGGTTTTTACAGTGCAGTTCAGTGACCCCCAGGGGCCCTTAAGGGCCAAAAAGCCCCATTATACTCTGAACCCTTTCATTGTGAGATGTTAGAAAACATTCAAGCTCTATTGTGATCAAAAACAAAAAACAATTTTGTGCTACTGTCTCTCCACTAGCCCTGGAAAAAAACAAACAAACAAACAAAACCCCCCAGACTTTTAAAATTTTCACACAGATTAAATAAATTCTCTGCATTTGTGTGTGTGTTTGTGTGCCCTTGTATGTCTACTTTTGTGAGGACTATCTCATGAACTGGACCTGGTTTTAGGTTAGGGTAAGGTTTGGGGTTAGACATGTATCTGTGATGGGTAATGTTAGCAGCTAAAGGATGCATTAGGTCAATGAGGGTCTTCACAAGTCCAGAAGTACAAATGGAATATGTGTTTGGGAGGCCAGACCTCTAAAAAACCTTTAAGAACCCCTGGTGTAAAACACACACACACGACACATACACACACACATGCGGTCGACACAAGACAGAAACACACAAACACGTGTCGGCGGGCAAACACACACACCCACATACACACTTACAGTGTGATGGTGGATAACTCTGACATCCTGCACGAATGCTGAACAGCCTGTGTGGGCTCACTGAAGCATTTCTGAGCACAGCTGCTACACAGCACAAAGACAACACAACAATACAACAAAGACAATGTCTTTAGGGACACAGACACACACTCTCACTCAAACACACTTCTTCACACTTGGTCACGCACACACAGGTCTAAGCAACAGATGAGAATGACATTATCTGCAGGGCCTCAAAAGACACCATCCTGTGGGAGCCGAACAGGAGTGACGTCTGGCTACAGTACAGCTCCATAATGAGGCTCAAACGTCCTGCCAACAGGTACAACAAATTAATATATACTGAAACATGTCTAGGAGGATAAATCAGAGGTTTAAGGATAGAAATGTGAAAATAAGACATTTATAAATGCATGGCTCCTGTGTAAAACATTTCTTCTATTTTTTATTGTATTAAATAATGTATTTATTTTTTAATTACACACTGATCCACAGATTATTTTCATCTTGTCTGCATGGTGCCATAGTGTCTGAATAAAGGAAAAAAATGGTGCTAGTCTATATATTTTTTATCGTCAACAAATCCCATGAAAACATTTGTTAGTCCTTCTCTCAATACTTCAAAACCAACTTCCCCATCCTGTGTCAGTGCCAAGCCCATTTGCTTTTACTGTAAATCTTTAAATTCAGGTCACAAATATACATTTTTAATTTTTAAAAGATTCTCTGTAGTTCTTAGCAAACGTTACTCGAACTCGCCTCCTCAAAAATGGAAAGAAAGGAATAAATAGGGAATTTGGTGTGGACTTTTCAGCTGCAGATTAATACACATTTGGTGCTCTAGTGAGTATTTACAGCAGGATGGTGTGTGTGGAACTGACTGAAATTAAACGACAGTGCCCAGGTTCATTACAATGAAGTAACGTGTCACCCACTTCAACAGACCTCTGTGATGTTTAGAATCTTTTTCAGACACCAATAGAGCACTATGGCACAGAGGAATAAGTTACAAAAGGCTTACGCTACACAGGGAATACTTGTTAGTAGGATCAATTCATTTTTGGTTTCGGTATTCTCATGAGATTTGTTAATGAAGAAAAATTGAGAATACAAGCCTTTAAGAAGAAGTGAATCACATTTCTTTAGGCAGGGTTGTTTATGTGCACATCATAAAGTCATGTTATATCATTTCAGTGATTTTTTTATGTGCAACATTTTTCACACACACACACACACACGCAGTTTTGAGTTTTTTTCTGAAGACACACAGCATTGGTGTTAGCAAATTAGCTGATACTTACAGGTAAATGCTTGATTCGTTTCCTCCAATATCAGGGGACTGCAGCTTCTGGACCAGGATGATGATTATTCCAATGAAGAGGACAAAATTTATCTGCAAAAAACAAAACACAAATTTACATAAGTCTGGAGGAGTTGTCATAAATCACATTCCAGTCAGTTAAGCAATGTCTGTGAATCAGCATCCATCATACCATAATGGAGGCCACAACTGGTCCTTTGATCACCCACCAGAGGGCAGTGTTCTCATTTGTGTCCCAGCACCTGGAGGAGGAGGTGCACAATGCATTTTAATAATCATTTAACATGCTGTCCTTAACTTTTTCCTTAACACATAACACCATACAGTACATCAATCAAGAGGCAATTTGCAGAGAAAGGGGAGTGGAGGGGAGAGGAGGATTTAAAATGGAAGCTGGCCAAACTAAAGGGAATAGAAATAATAATGAAGAGAAGATTATTTAACCTACTTAGGAAAATCTTTTCTTACACTTATATATAACATAATGTATTGTCCACATTTACCATTTAAATGGCAAATGGCTATTGTCCTAAATTCCAGAAACTGGATATGCCCTCCTCATCTTAAATTATATAGTTGCCAAGATGGAGAGGAGATACATTTGCAAGGAGTTATCGTAATACAGATTTTGGACTTCTGGTGGGCGATTCTCAGCATCCCGACGGCCTCTGCTTCTTTGCTTTCATACAATATGTTCTCAAGTGCCGTATACAACATGGACATGGCTAACAGCTGACAGGCAAGTTGGAAGAGGAGTTATACCCAGTGTCATGAAAGTGGAGCCTCAGAACTGCCCAGACAGTGACGCAGATGGTGGGAGTTCCTGCAATAACAGTGATCATTAACACACTGGAGCAAAACTGCAGTACAATTGGCATAATAAAACCCCATTTACACTGTATTTATCTATATAGGATCAGTTACATGATAACTTTTACAAGCAATTATCATATTCAAAAGAGGAAGAATGTCTCAAGACAGTATTGCTACTTCAACTGTATTTCACATGTTACATGTTATTTAAAACATTTATTTTGTCAAGTTTGGTTGAAATCTCAAAAGTCCTTGGCACATAAATAAATACAAAACTGTTATAATGAGACCTCCAGGATAAAGAGGTATTGTATAGGTAATGAGAATCCAGAATATCTGGTAAACCCTATACCCTATTGTCCTATTCTATTCCTCCAAACATAAAAAATTGAGAATAAAAATGTACTTACAAATGAATAAATTTACTTTTGAAAGTTGAAATTGTGGCATAAATGGTTGAATATACAGTATAAACAGAAAGAATGATAATCACCCCATCCTACAATGGTGTACCAGTAGAAGTAGCGTCGCTCAGGAAAGAAAGTCTCCACCAGCAGAGTGAAGAGATATAGACCTTCAATGAACAGCCAGAAATAGTTGGACATGACACAGTAATGGAAGAAAACCATCACTGCTTTACACGCCACCTGCACGTGGAAACACAGGGGAAGGTGCATCAGCAGAGCAAAGGCAGAGGGAAATCTATTTATTAATCTATTTAGTGATTTCACATCTGTATTGCTGATGTTGGACAATCATTTTAGGGCATTTGAAGCAGTGTGGATTTGTTATCATCTCACTTAGAAGACATGACCTTAAAGGTATATCATTAAACATGTTTGTAGGTGGTTGTTTTATCCACAGTAAAAGTAAATGTTGTTGCAACTTTTGCATGTGTAAAATCCATGTTAGATGGTCAGATTTTCTTTTGAAAGCTCAAGACAATATATGTCAGAGTGACAAATGTCCTTTTTCCTGTAAATCACAGTGTAAACAGAAATCGTCGTCATTGTGGTGACAGGGTTGCTACACACTGCACCGCACAGCAATTACCCTAAAACTGTACCATTTAGCAAATATGTGTGGATTAAACAGCCAGCAGCAGAGACACGCCTACAGGTCTGATGGACTGTCCTCAAAAGACATCATGTTAATTAAAGAGTCCATATTCTGAGTGGGGTCAGCCAATTACAGGGCTGATCTGATTCCCGGTGTCACGATACCATGATGGCGACCTGTGATCGCCATAGCAACAACGGTGAAGCAGAGGGTTTGAGAAAAAAAAGGGTAGAGTACCTGTTGATATGTTAATGAGCATCTACTAGAAGATTTCTACTGGCCTTGCTGAAGACATTAGCGTACCTAATTAGGTTTATTTATCATGACTGCTTAACAAGTGTGGGCGATGTGTTGTTACCAGACAAAGGCTAAGAGCTTGTTCTGCATTTGTAATCAGGGAGTATTAGTCATCTAATAGCGTGTTTGGTTTTTGTAAAATTTGCATGTGATTGAAGTTCCTTCAAAGGTGTGTATCAAACACAGAAAGACTGGAGGAGAAGTGTTTACAAGCCCTTCTGTCTGTGAAACTCATTTTATATCTCAAACTGAACGTGCACAATCATATTTTGCACGCATGCTTTCCTTGGCGGCACAGCGATGAATCCTTTAATAAAGCTCTCTGGAACCAATTAACCAATAATCTTGAAAACAAATACAAACTTCTTATACTGATTCAAAACCTGCCATGGGTTATTTAGTCAGAGTAGTGATCATTTAGAATAATAAAGGCCTCATTTTGCAATTATCTGCTTCTAATTTCAATTAATGAAGTAATTAGCCTTTTGAACTGAAAATGACCCATTCATTTGTTCATTAATTAATAACCAACCAAGCAGTCATAGTTGTTTTCTTTGCTGTTGATAAAACCATAAAAAGAAAAAGTATTTCATCAGCCACTGATAATGTGTGTATTAACCTTTAAATGAACATACAGTATATTAACTAGTTGTTGTTACTGACTGTGTGCTCGAAGCAGTGGTCGCTGTCCTCCTGAGCATACAGCACACCATCCTTAATGAAGACTGAGATGGCTCTCAGGATAAAAGACACAAACAAGTTCATGTGAATAAAGTTCCTGGTGCAGTGGAGCTTCCTGGAGAGAAAAGAGAGAGAAAATAGATCACATCTTCACTCCTAAAAGTAAATTAATTAGTGCAGCTGGCCATGTTAGACCATGTACCCTTTGCTCGTTTTGCTTGTTTATTTCCCCTGTTAGTCACTATACTATATGTCTTAGCTCGGCATGTCATATATAAGTATTTTCAGAAAAGGTCAGGCTACTCGGGAATGCTATAGTTTGGCATGTCCGTGGTACTATACATGCCAGTTTTTATGAAGAAAAAAAAAAACACTTTACTTTATAGCCCCCTATTTAGCATTTAGCTAAGCAGAATGGTTTATAAAACACCAAAATGTAGTTTTAGGCAGATATAATGGCATTTGAAGTGTTTATTAATGGAGATAATTGTTTTCTAACCTCTTCTATGAAGACATTTTTTATATTACTGTATTGTCATTCATTATCAGTTTCCACACTAGGCTCCATTTATAGATTCCCACAGGAAGAGTTACTGTGGTTAACAAATACATTAATAAATATATGTTTTGCAACTACATTATAGAGTGTTATGAACCATTTATTGTTTATATTCCCAAATAAATACTTGATAAAGGCACTTATAGTAAAGTGTATCGAATGGTTTTCTACACACAGCAAACATCTGTATATGGTTAGAGAATGCCAGTAGGGCAGCAAATTATTGATTGTTTTCATTATTGATTAATCTGCTGATTTATTTCCTTCAATCGATTAATTATTTGGTTTAGTAAATGTGAGAAAAAAGTAAAAAATGCCCTAAATTCTTTGCCAACAAGATTCAAATGGTTAAAGAAAAGAGAACAAGCATAAATGAAACGTATTTTCATTTCATGAACCAATTTTAAGAAACCTGACTTTGGAAGCCGCATTGTGAAGCTCACCTGAATCTGCAGAGAATGACCATGGCTGTAGTCAGAGACACCAGCGATGTGCTGTAGCCAACGGTGTACAGAGCCTTGACTGAGGCGTAGTAGCTATCCTAATGTTGGAGACAGAAAGTTAGTCATGTGTCTCTGTGAGAAATGTAAAAGGAAATCTAGATGAGGTAGAAAAGGTTGTACAGGTTTAGTTGTGTTGTCATAGAAGAAGCAGACGTCCACATAGTGAGGGAAAGGTTCAGACCAGCCGTCCTCGGTACAGTTACGACTGACCTTCCCCATCTCTGAAAGTGAAAAAATATGTCTGTGCTGATTTGGGCTGAATTGAACTGAATGAAACACATTTTTATATACAAATGAGACCAAATTACATGAGACACACAGCTAATCTCACCATCTTCGGGGCCCATGAAGTCATGGAAGAGCTCTGGACAGCTGACCGCCACAACTTCACCAACACTGGCCGCCTGCCAGCAGGTCAGGTTATCCCACATCCAAGGACACACTGAGGAGCAGAGAACAGGGGAAAGAGAAACACAGTGAGGTCAGTGTAAAGGTCCTATCAGCTTTACTGCTGCTATAAAGGTGATGAAATGGTACTGACACTAATTTAATTGAACTGAACTGAATTCAATTCAATCGTACTCAATAAAAAGCAGCTTTCAAGTCTTATTACCTCTCTTGGCCCATCTCAGTCAGATCATCTTAACAATTTAGTTAGCCTGTTTTAATACTTATAATCATGATAAAAAGTGCTTCTTGAACAGAAGCACAATATGGCTTTTAAGTTGCTATGGGGAACTTTTTAGCAGTTATTTTTGGAGTTTCTGGCCACATGATGAAGCCCAATATTCACTCTCTTTTAGCTCTGTATTTGGTCTCTACCAACTCCTGAGGGAAATATCTGGCTCTTTAGCTGCTAAATTCTTCACTATGTTCACCAGCTAGTTGCTAACTGTGTCTGTCTGCTGTTTGGTGCTGAGCAAGGTTTGGTTTCACAAGTGGGGGAGACACAATGAAGGAAAAAACAGTAGAACGGAAAAGAATCAGTTCTACTGTGTTTTTAGGAGAATATTAACTGTTCACAAAAAAAAATTATGAACGCGTTTTTCAGGTTGCATCCAGCATTTTTTTAGTTTGCATACAGCCCTGGCAATATTCACCAATAAGATTAGGCAACCTGTGGTTTAGCCTGAGAGACAAAGGACCACACCTCTTGCTGCAGCAGCTGCAGCTCAGTGCTAGTAATACGTAAAGATGACTCAGATGAGTATCTCAACTTTTTTATCAACTCTGTTGGATTTTGTGGAAATTAGGCAATTGGATAAGCAGGTTTGTTTTTAGAGTTTTTTTCATGAAAACACGTGCTGCACCCGAAAACCACTATATGACGCTATGAAAGTGAACCAAAACTGTAAAGTGTATCACCACCTGTTGACATTCAAAATACAAAATAATGAACAAAGCATTAATTTAACATTTCTTTATTACTGCTTACATCACAATTTATCTATAGACACACACACACACACACATAGACGCACACCTATTAGTGCAGCAATTTCACCAGAATGTAATTTACTGCAGAACTGTTTCACCTGTCTGCTCACATCTCAACAGTACATCACTGCCAAAATGACCAAACGTCCTAAATGACAATAAAATTGACATCATCACCTCTCTAAAACAGAAACTGAACATGATAACCCTCATTAATGTTGGATTGCAGGGCTTTTGTGTTACACTTGTTGTGTTTGACAAGTACTTGCACTTACTGCGGTGCATTTGACAGTCGCAGGATTCATGTGTGCAGGAAATTACTACTCAGCCTGGACAGGATGGCCTGCCTTTTTACAACTTGGAAAAAATACAGAAAAATTAAGGGATAAAAATAAATCAAGTACATTATATAAAATAAATCACTTAAAAATGTAAAACATATACAGAAAAAAATAATTTATATGCAAAAAATTATATATTTTTAAAGAAATAAATGTGAAAATAAATGATATAAAAATTTGCTTATAATCATTATTTTATATTTTATTATTTATCTTTATATTTCCACTTTCATTTTTTGAATTATTTGTTTTTAGATTTCCACATTTTCTTATTTTCAATCTTTATCTATTATTTTATTTATTTATCTCTATATTTCCTCACTCATTTCTTATTCTTTAACATATTTCAAATTTTTTAATGGCACCCCTTAGACTCCACAATCGGGTGTCACAAACAGGCTGAAATTAAATTTTACTCAACCCAGTTTCAACTTCTATTCATCTGCCATCATCATGCTCACTATAAATCTCACATCCTGTATTTTTAGTGCTACTCTCACAGATTTCTTTCTTTCTTTCTTTCTGCTTAAATGTGTTTTATCTTGAGAAGCTCTCCATCCCTCCACCTTTTTCTCTCCATCTCTCTAAGTTTACCATGCTGTTTATGCCCGGGTGGTTTTATAGTGCTGCAGAGGAGTCTGATTGTGTGTGTGTGTTCACACGCGTGCATTTTGAGTGTGTTATTGAGTGTGAGTACTGTCTGTGCATGGGTTCCTGGACATGGATGTGTGTTTGTGTTTGTAGACCTTTCTTCATTCTGCTTGGCTCTCTAATCTGTTTTGGTTCCGTCTGGTGAGCCGGACACGAAGCCAATTACCTTTTAAAGGGCAAATCGCAGGCAAATGAGCCGCACTGAGCTACAGAGGTAACCGGCTTAATAAAGCACTCTGTCTGCATCACTGGCTATCTCACACAAGATCCCACAGTATACTCTATTCACTGGGCTGCATAGTATCCACACACATCCTGCACATGCATAGTATAGAATACTTGTAAACAACCACAGCAGCTCAAGCACACATACACATACAGACATAAACTTTTTCCCATTAAGGCTGATCGTATCAGATGACTAATCAGTTTTTTGTAGTCTGAGTCATCGGGTGCAACTGCAGCAGAATACTAATAAACCAGTTGCCCAAAGAGGATTCATTCATCTTTTTTTTATAATTTATTGGGAAAAAAATGTGTCATGAAGCTCCTGTAAAAATTTCAGATTAATTCATTAATTGTTTGGTCTGTCAAATGTACTAAAAAAACTAGCGGAAAAACACCCATTATGACTTCCTAAAGGGTGAGGCAAAGGGAGACCCAACAAATTCTACCATTGGAGATGCTGGAACCAGAGAATGTTTTGTGTTTTTGCTTGAAAAATTACCGACAATTAAAAGATTATCAAAATACCAGCAAGTTTCTGTCAATGGACTAACTGATTAACTGATTAGTTGTTTTAACATTTAAAATACCCTAAAGGTATTTAAGTGTCCTGTTCTGTAGTGTGATGTTTAGGTGTCAGAATCTAAATAAAATGTCACAAATTTCAATCAATTTCATTCACAATTAGCTTCAGAGAAACTGTTGACTGAAGATGATTTAGTTCTGAAATAATTGTAAATAATAATAAACACTGTGCAGCCCATTTGATTTTCTAATGGCTATATTCAATCATTATGTGGCAATTTCACATGGCCTGCAGACTAATCTGAGTCCAGAGAACCTCAGTTAAAAATATGATAACTAATACAAATAAATAATGTTTTTAGAAATAGATCTTGATGAATCAGAAAAAAAGAAAGATCGTCTGACTAAGCTAAAACAGACCACCACCTTTCTCTTTCTCTTTTTACTAATTTACTGTTCACATTTTTCTTTTCTCGTTTTCTACTTTTCCTCAAGTCCCAAATCAGATCTCTAAAAGCCAGGCGTTTCCTTATTTCCTCAACAACGATTTGCTGCCAGACACACAGAATAGTTCATTTTAAAGAATAGGAGGAAACAAGGGTCATTTAAAGGTGAAGGCAGGCCAACATGTGTGACACTATGGTTTGAAAATGGATAGTGCTATAGAAAAACAAAATAACTGTTCATGTTACAGAAGAATACGGGAATAAAATAGCAACCGAATGCCTGATTTTCACTATAAATACGAAACACTAAATATGCAATACATATACATTGTTATTTATAAATCAGACCTGTGTTCTTACCTCCTCACGGCATGTGACGTGAAAAAAAGATTTAAAAATACAAAAACTTCAATATAGCACATGCAGTTTGCCGTGTATCACACAGTAAGACATTTAATATCTATCCAAAAAGAGCTACAGCTCTTCTCCTCATTGAAATTGTTATCTAACACTCTAAAATCTTTTATTTGTTTCATATGTTTTTCAAGGAGCTGGAGGCTGTCAGCAAAGCCGTGAGTCACAGTGCAGTCTGGGAGATGCAGTCTGTTGGGCAACTTTCGAGCAGTCGGAGTCCTGTAGCAGTTGCTAATGAAAACCACAGCCCATAGCCAAGAAAATAATTGCTTCCAGGAATCACATACCAAGCTTCCTGTGTTGTTGGAAAAAAAGGGACATGTGGGAAAAAAATGCGAAAGCAGCGCAGCGTGACATTACAGGCAGACATTTGGTTTGTAAACTGGATGGTAGTCTGTGCTGTACAGCGAGCAGCCTTTTGGGGTGATGTACATAATAGAAAACTGCACTCATCTCCCATCCTTACATGACCTCTATGACCTTTCTCAAAACTGATCAGATAAACTGACAAATGCCACATTGTTCAGTATAAAAACAAACCTGTTTTCTTTTAATTTGTTCCCGGAAAGTTCGATTTTTAGGGAGATACATGAGTTGACACATGACAGTGTTTTCTGAGAAACCTGAGACATGAACAATTTCATAACAACAGCAGAGGCATGAATGAACATCACTTACCTAAGTCAAGGTCATCGCTGGGGTTGTGCAGTATGATCATCTCCATGCATTTCTCATGTTCACGCTTGATGAGACAATGCTCGGACTCTGAGGCCACCTGGAGAAAATAAACAGTAACACACACAGTTTCACAAGAAATATTAACTATACTGATACTCTGCACCATTGAGAAGAGTGATAAAGGCCCTGAAGACCTGAAGACCACCTTCTCACTCTTGCCAAATGGGTACAACATAAATACAGCAATATTGTCTAAAGTTAAAATTATGCTGGTTATGTGAGATTCAACGTTTCTGTTTTTGTGTCATGATCTGGCTGTACCGCCCTTTTGGTCTCTAGTGTTTCCCTGTTTTCCCCCTTCCTGGTGTTTTTGTCCTCTGAGTGTGTCTGTGTGTGAGTGTGTGTGTGTGGGCATGGTGCTCCTTTCCCTCTCCTGGCAGACCAATCAGTCAGTTAATTTCAGTGGCACTCGCACTACGGCCAAATTTGGGAAGGCATCAGATTGTGACTTTTTTGCGGCCATGACTTTTCCTTGATTTCTTTGTCTGCTTGTACTTCAGGTTCTTGGTCTCCGACAAAGGAGAGCCCAGTTCGTCTGCCTTGCTCAGTTTTAGCCCTCGTATGTGTAGCCTGCTCAGCTCATGCCACCTGCCTGCTCACGGAATTTCCCAGTCTGGAAACCGCCATCACATTTCATGTACAATAATTGTATACCTTTAGTCTCTGTGTCTGCATCAGGGTCCATGTGTGTTTTTGTTAGCACTCTTGTGGGCAGAGATTTTTTGCCACGGAGGGGTTATTACCTATCAAACGAGATCAAACCACACCTAATGAAGCTGCATTTTCCTATATCTGTGATTGTTGCTTTTTCAGTCACAAATGTTTAATGATAGAGAATACTCAAGATGTGAAAGGTGCTTTAAAATTGCACTAATCAATATTTTTAATTTAACAATGGATAAAATAGTTACATGTAATGTGAAATGTGATTCATGGCAACAATCCGACAGAGAGGCGTCCCCTTTGGAGAGTTTTGGTGTCTTTTAGCTCCTTGTTTTTGGTTTGAAGGCCCATTACTTCACTGAGTCTCATTGACCTCATCAATTTCATTTCAAGCCACAGCAGGCAGCTGTTTTCTGTGAAAACACCAACGGCAAACAGAGAAAGTAAGCTGGTGAACATAGTGGAGCATAAAGCCGCGAAAGAGATATTTCCTTTAGGAGCTGGTGGAGACCCTATTAGAGGGAATACATTCCTCTGTTGGCCAGAAATATGACTGGAAATAAATTCTAATGTGTCTGTTTCCAAACTAAAATATGTCAATGTTCTGTCTCCAAGTGGACAAACAAATTTACCAATGCAGGGGGAAAAAATCCACTTTATCCTGATTGTTATACTATCTGTTTGTGTATGTAAATATTTATCAGCGCATTTACGAGTAGCCTGTTTTTATTCCAAAATCCTTCTCTTTTCACTTCCTGTAAATATTTTTGATGACTCATCCTGCCTGCTGACTTTATTAGCTCATGGGTTGTAGTAGCTAGGGGAGTTAGATTATGGGTAGAAAATGTGTGTTTAGTCTTAGTTGGCAGTGCTTGAGAATATGTCAAAATATGAAAGCTAAAGATGCACTAAATGCTATTTCACTAGGGGAATAATCAGGCAAGGTAGAAAACACACTATTTACCCAGAGGTAGTATAGTAGTGTATGTCTATCTTGAGGCCAATATCTGTTTTGCACCCTCAGCTTTCTTGAACCTCCCCTCTTTCACTCTCACTGTGAAATAATAGGTGTAATAAGTCGCAGCCCTCTGAGCCGTGGCTGATTCATCACTCTGCCCTCCAATATGAATTCACTTCAGGCCTCGCTGCCTAGATAAGATAGGACATCAAACGACTGGGAAGATGCCCTAGGATTCAGTTCCTTTCTTTATCAAGCTCCACATGGGCAGAATTTTAAAACACTGCACGAATTATGTGAAATGCTATTAGAGCTATCATCCATCTAGTTTCTGACACACTTATAAACACAAATACTGGACACTGCCTCACCACAATGGCAAAACAAAAACAAAACAAAGAAAAAAACATATTAAAGAACACACTTTTTATGTTGACAGTAGTGTTTGATATGATTTAATGAAACTGACATTGGCATTGAGTGAAAGGAAGACCTCTTTGTACCCGTAGCAAGAATCCATGTTGCTAAGCAGCAGGTAACCAGCTAGGAGCCAATACATATTGTAGGCAAGGCTTCCCAGAAATGAGAAATAATTGGATGCAGATGACTAATATCTGTTTGGCACGAGTGCAGACAGGCATGTAAGATGACAGTTTTAAATGTGTTATTCATTAATTTATTTATATAGACTCCTAGCAGGTGTTACTGAGTTTGATTAGTATTTTGTTTTACTTTCCCATATTTACAATAGGTATTTATTTTTCCATGCTAATCCGATCGCATAGACACGTGCTTCCACACAGGCATTTACATCTCCATTTACCACACACACACACACACACACACACACACACACACACACACACAACTGTTGTGAAGAAGTGGCCTTTTTTACACCCAAACTTAATAATGGATTTACCAAAAGCTAGTGCAACTCAATCCAGGTCAACTGAGGACTGTTAAAACCTAAAACAGGCACCAGGAAAACATTACATAGGCCAGAAGACAGATCAATGAAAGTGTAGCTTATTCTTCTATCCAATCACTCCTCCCCTCTCCTCTCCTCGCCCTCTGCCAGATGTCTGTCCAGATAAGCTGTCCATTTTGAAGCTGCAGAACCATGTTTCCCTCCCCAAGGCTATTTTTTCGAGGGCCAGATAACTCAGTAGCTTCCACAGCACCACGTAGCACAGATAATAAAACTGGCCCACTGTACAGACCCATTTAAAACACAGTAAGTGCACCACAACACACATATCTGCCACATCAGCAGCTGTAGGTCAGCTTGAGCAAAGATGTCAGCTAGAGGAACACTTCATATTGGTGCGGTACAGATGTTTGTGCCTACAAGGTTGCATTCTGATTTAATTTTAGTCTACCTAGTAACCCTCATCAAATTGGTATTATTACTGTTTTTACTGCAAAAGATGTCATCATCAAAATGATAATGCTACATTTATTTTTGCATAAACCAAAAACAATTTCTGTATCTGTGTAGCTTCACCAAGGAAACTGCTGCTGTGCTGCATTAGTGTGCTGAATATAATACCTCCCACAAATCTTGCACAACTCTTCCATCCTGCTTTTTATTTCTAAGAGACCTCTAATAAAAGTGAGTCACAGCAGATGGATAGGCAGCTCTCCGGTCAGCCGGGCCATCTGTTATTGTTCTAACAGGCGGCCGGCCGTCTTAGCACAGAGCTGATCCAGGACCTGTAGCGTATGCTGATGTGCTGATGCGGCATATGGTGATTTCCATGCTTCCAGTGCCTGTCACAAACACACCCGCAAGAGTGTACGTATGAAAATCTGAAGCTGAGAAAGTGATGAGAAGGAGGGGGCTGATGATGGAGACCCACTCACTCCCTCATATGTGGATATGGTTACATATTCATGTATGCTCCTGAACACACACACACACACACACTTACACAGTGTACACAGCACACATAGACGCATGCACACAATCTACTCACCAAGGGCAGCAGAAAAATTGCAGTCAGCAGGTAGCCTCTCATTGTCTCCAGTGAAGTGTTTGTATCCAAAAGGCTCCACAATACGTGTGTGTGTGTGTGTGTTCACAGCGATGCACTGAAATTGCTCCCCTTAGCGTAACCACACTTCAGCATCAAGGACTCTGAAATACAGCACACAGACGAAAAAGGCTCCGTAAGAGCACAAACAACAAGAACGTAACATGAGAGAATCGTCACTGTGTTCGGCCACTGCATCACTGTTTTGTTATGATTTCAAGTTGAGTTATTATAATGTATAACATTTTGAAATTCTTCAGTATTAGTTGATATTATTATGTGTTTTGGAAACTTGAATACTGAATAATTGTTGTTGCTAACTGTAGCACTTAAAATGTTTCAGTTTTTGAGATTCTAGTTTTGAATTGTCCTCAATGTCACTTAAAACAGATACACAGGGACTCGCCCAGATAATGTCACAATCCCACAGGTTTCTGTTTTTCAACTTTGCTTCTGAGAAATTCTGCTGCCATTAACCAGGGAGAAGAGGCAGTCAGGGATCTGAACCAGAAAAACGCCTCATTGTTGACAATAAAAGATTTTGCATTCCTCCAAAAGTGTGATATAACATTGTCTACAAGAAAAATTAATGAAACTTTTACTTCCTGAAAATAGCTCCTCCCTCTTTGTAACTCTATAGATCTCAGTCAGTGTTAGTCTGTGGAATAAGACAATTTGTTGATTAATTAACCTGTAACTTTACTTTAGATTTTTTTATTGTCAGCCTTTGAAATGGAGTTACTGTCTTCTAAATCAAACTTGTTTCTATCAGACAGACTTGAACAAGTAGTGGTAATTTGGAAAACAGAAGAGCTGAAAGGACCATATAGGCTGCTTAAACATCATTTATAGTTAAACTGGTGTACTATTATGCAGAAGTTGAAGTGGCACTAAAAGCTAAATTAATTTATAGCATGAAATCATTTTATAAAAATGAAGCTCGTTCCAAAAAGTAATTTTACAAATTGATTAGATAACCACACTATGTAAGAGTAAGTATGTAAATAGACTGCAACTTTTTCCTCTAGAATTAACATCTTAATAAACACATGACATTGAATTTATTTATGCAACTCTATAAATTATTTCTGGCCCATCATTAAATTCGATGCACATCACACATTTTTCTCCAATTCATTTTATCTTCTCCTTTATCTTCTATTCTGTTTTAATTGCTGCTTTACTTTGTCTTATGTGATAGTAAAATGAGCAATTTGATGATATTACCTTGGGATTTTAGTTAGTAAATTGTGATCATCATTGTTCACTTTTTGACATTAGATAGACCAAACTGTCAATCAATTAATCGCCATTCATAATTTGACTGAATTGTCTTCAACAAAAAGTTGGATTTTTATTCATCTTATCCAACAGACACCAACTTTCATAAAAACTTCCTCGATGACAGAGGCAGCATTTGTTGTTTTTCTCTGAGGTTATATACAACCACAAAAGATGTCATTCACCTAAATTCCAAATTAAAGCAGAAACTTTAAACAATGGTGTGGATTTATTAAGGACAAGTGGATTACAAAAGGCAAGAAATTTGAATCCATCACATAAATCTCCTTTAAGAATAATATTTATGTGCCTAGGGTCAGACTTTAACCAACCCCCAAAACCCCACCCCTTGTGGCTTACTCATCCAGCTTCCTGAAAACACAATGATTCACTGCAAACACAGAGGACGCACTGGCCAGAACCAGCAGAGACACATAACACACATTCAATCAGAGAAACAGCAGAGCACACACACGCGCGCACACACACACACAAATTCCGCTCTATGTCCTTTCCCTCTGGTACAGAATCCAATTACCTCTAAAGCATCTCTCGTATGCTTTATCAAGTAATAGGTAGGACAGACCGAGCTCAGAGGAAAACCACGGAGATATAGAGAAGGGATAACATGTGTCATGCAGGGCTAACACTAAACTGTCGGGATGCAAATTTAAAAAGAAAAACACACAATCAGACATGAGAAAGAAAGAGAGAAAAACACTATGACAACTTGCCAGGCAGGGTATCAATTAGCTCTATTTCTCTCCATCTCTTTAGCACCAAAATGTCACAGCAGCCATGTTTCTGGAGGCTCCAAAGGAAGTTTAAAAAAACAGTACTTGATAAATTCATGTGGCTTTTTTACTGAGGAAACACTACTACAGGAAACAACAGAAGGGCTAAACATCCTGAGGGCAAAAAAGCCTTGCTCAGCACTGGATACATGTGAGTCACTTAGAAATCTGTAAAGCTTGATAGGTACTGGACTGAACAGGACTATGATTATGGGGGAAGTGAACAACTATATGTGCAGGTTTACAGAATGCCCTGCTTGTACTGTTTATTTTATAAATGTTCCCCAGTAGTAAAGACACATTGTAGTACAGGTCAGGCTATTGCAGTTTGCAAGAGGATTTCCAGTCATGAATAATGGCACTGAACTTGTTAGAAAACTGGCAAGGAACACCCAAAATGCAGAATTACTCTAACCATAGGAAGGTGTGAGCGCATGCATGAGATCTGCAGATGCAGATACAGAGAAAAACAAGAGAGAAACATCATGTCACCCTCCTTAATGATTTCTCTCTGAATTTTAAAAATCTGTCTCAACATATCAGCTTCCTGCTCCTGTGTGTTAAATTCATCTGTACATCGTGGTGCATTAATAATTCATGGTCACTTTGAAACGATCCCAGTAAGACGGGAGAACGCTTTCATTGAACCCAAATGCAAGTCTGTTAATGCCTGGGAGATCGCATGTCTGTCAGTGTGGAATAATGTAGGTCCGTTCAAAATCATTAGTTATTGGCAGCTTTGTTAATATGTTCAATTAAAAACATTAACCGTGTCATAATCACACATACATTCCTGTAATGTAGCCATGTAGGCTACAATACAGGAATAACAGTTCATCCCATGCTGCTGAAGAGTATTTCCTTGTTCTTTAAATTACAGCATGTAAAATGTCAAACGGTTTGTGGGCATGTCCGAGGTAGAAGAAAAATACAACAGTCTTAATTATAATCGGTCGATGATAGATTTTTCCCTTGGTGCTGCACATCAATAAGCTAATTTTGCCAACCCTTTCCCCCTTTTATTCCTGCATTCATAAACGCTTAATTCATCAATGCATGTGGGTGACCTTCGATTTGCACATGGAAAACATCAGCAAGAAAATCGTTCACCCACCGTTTATTTACTAAAAGCTCTAACTCGAAAATCACAGCTCACGTACTGTCATGCAAGAAGAAATGTGCTTCTTCTTGTTTTAAACAAAAGCCTTTACAGATCAGTGAAATCCTTCTTAATTGATCAGCCGCAGCGAAAGCCAGAGATACGATTGAAAGCGCGCAGCACTCGGCGTGGAAAACAAGTCAAAGGAACTTACCGATGCGTAATTTTCAGAGGCGCAAATATCTTCACGTGAAGCCATCGGTGTTAACGGATCCCCGCGGTATTTGGCTACGAATACCTTGTTTTACTCCTAAAAGGGTTATCACCTCGTCCTGAAAACGACAGGTGCCGTTGCTGCTGCTGCTGCTGTTTCTGCTGCAGGACGCACTCACCGTGTTGACTGCTGCTGCTGCGGCACCACGACGAGGAGGAGGAGGAGGTGGGTGTCAGTTCTTTTGGGAATCGCACCTAGTCAGACACAGAGGCAATAAAGTGAGACAACAGTTTAGTCTACAAATGCAGCTGAAGGAGGAGATAGATTTTTTTTAAAATGGTCTCAGCATTGGGCTGGTGAACTGAAAGTCTCGACGTCGCCTGCGTGGGACTTTCTGTTCCAGAAAAGAAACAATTCATAAAACTCTGACATTTGCGCCTGCGCCTCTCAGACGCTCCTGAAGGTACAAGGTCCGGTCCCCTGCTGAGTGCAATCTGTGAGGCACTGAGTCCCCCCCCCCCCCATGTGTGTGACTCACATTTAGTCAAAAGTTTCTCATTCTAATTACACAACATGTAGCAGACTGTGGCAGTTTAGTCCAAAAAGCAGCTATATTCCCATGGAAGTGATTTGTTGTGGCCTCTGTGGCCGCAGGCGATCCTGTTTACTTTCAGCACCACAGACAGCGACCAAACAATCGTCACAGGGCATCAATGGGCACAAAGTAAAGCCCTAACTAAAGTCCATTACAACATTGTATCTGCAAATGAACAAGTTTCTCAGTCTGAATACTAAGAGCTGCTTTAATTCAGTCTCAACAGGATTGTTGTGATCCAGGCAGGGCCAGGGCGAGAAGGTGGATTAGTGAACGGGCATATAGCTACAAGCTCAGGGGTCTCTGTATGAAAGGACGTTAACATTTTTAGCTGGAAACTCAAAAGACAACAAAGACACAAAAAAAAACAACCACAAAAAAGAAATATTCACAAAGAGAAGCGAAATGACCACCAAGAGATGCAAAATATTAACAAACCGATGCAAACAACAAAGACGTGCAAAATGACCACAGACAGATGCAAAATAATCACAGAGAAGCAAAATTACTACAAAGGCATGCAAAACGACCTGTAAGAAGCAAAACAATCATAAAGAGACGTTAACTACCAAAGAAAACATAAAACAATAACAAAGATATGCAAACTGACCACAAACAGATGCATAACAACCATAAAGACATGCAAAATGAAACCCCCAAAACTCTTCAGTCTCTCTTCTGTCTCTTTCAGTTTGGGGTGTCCAGGGCCCCCCTTGTCTCATGCACTTCACATTAGAATATGTATTATTTCATTTATTACACTGAATAAACATAATAAATGTAAAGAATAATAACTGTAAGAACAGAATATATGCAAATGTATAGATTGATAAAGTACAGCTTTTTATTGCAAAGAACCAGGTCTTTAAATGGGAGACTCACATTTTTATTCATTTTGCAAATTTACCCCTTTCTTTATTACTGTATCCCAATCTGGCACCCTCATTTGGTTTCAACCCGCCCCTGGATCCAGGGTTGACAATTTCCAGTGCCAGCTATATGCAGGCTGGTGTTTTGAGTGCGGGGTGATTGATCACTCAGCTGGGACATTTTGATAGGTTGGCCATAAATCAATGAAGCATAAAAAGTATTAAATCCTGCCATGATGTGGATATTCTCAGAGAGCAAAACAGAAAATAGGAAAGGCTCCAATAACTGCCTTGAAGACACCAGTTCTATCGAAATATATTAAATGTGAGGGGAAAAAATCTATGAAAACGCCTGATTGGATGAAGGGTAGTGACGCATGTTTCCTGCCGTCCTGGAACAATTTAACACTGTTACTGGACCTGCCTCAAGGACATCCATGGAAATACTCCCATTGAGAAAAATAAAAAACATCTCTGATCTTGCAGTCAGCAATCTGTAAGCTATTTTGTTGCATATAAGTAAGTTGCAAAGCAGCCACAAAGCAGGTAAGACAATGGTTTGAGCCTTGTTTCCATGGAAAACACTCAGCTGCATCTTCCAGTGGCTTCCAGTGAATTCTCTATGAACTTTAGACAAGGCAGCGAGGCAAAGACAGTGTTATGCTGCTGTGATAATTACAACAGTGTGTGAGCGGAACAGCGAGAGAGAAACACAACAATGCATATTATATTATAATAATAATGTTTCTGGATTTGGATTTTTGTCTGAAATATCTCCACAGACAAGGTCTTCATTTTGGTCACAGCATAAAAAAAATCGATTTAGGGTTCCAGGCATTTTACTCAAGGACATAGTGACATTGATGGTGGGACCATAATTGAAATGTCTGTCAGTGTCAAGGGTCAAACCAGCAACCCTCTGGCTATTAAATGGAACAGGACAAATTTGTGTGATGTGTTCATGCAGGCCTTCATTTGTACCAAATAGCTTGTTATTCCACATGTTCAAAACGTAACCTTCAACCAAACTAGTAGGTAGGTGGGTAGAGGTATTTTTGTATTGCATGCGGACAAATTAAATGGATAACATGTTATAACCTTGGTAGTACAACCCATTTTACCAAGAAATACCAAGACCAAAATGTCTGTGAAGTAAATTTTCTGGCTAGAAAGCTTTAAAAGTAATGAATTGAAAGGGTAACATGGTTTTATTTGAGTTTTCAATCTTGCTGTGTATTTACAAAGCATTTTTTAAAAGCAAGGAAAGTCCCTAAGGATGTGAATCTTATAGGAGAATGAATACCTATTTGTGAAAACGAATCATCACTTAAAAAACATGTATCTGCATATATGTGGCCTGGATCGTTCTGAGGAAATATCCAGAAGGTAATTTCAAAATGTGCAATTTCAAAAGCTTGATTTTAAAGTTTTATTGCTTGCAAATTCAGATAATAAATTCAAGTATCCTATAGTCAAAAAACTATATTGATTGCTCAGATTTAATTGTCACTTTTACATCTTAAAATTCAAGTCATATTTCAACCTTGAACATGCTGGCCGCCAAAAGATAAGCAATTGGAAATTATTTGACCAATCAGGTTATGTTCTGTCAATAAATTCAGATAGATGGTTTTCAAAGTAAATTATTTCAATGCTTTTAAAGGCTGAACATTTCTAGACTACATTGGCACATTAAATGGTGAACACATGTCAAACAACTAATAAATACCTGCATGCTTGGCACTCCGTGGCAATACATGAATATTCCTGTTCTAGGTCAGCCTTCCTATTGTTTTGCCAACTATTAATCATCAGTTGGTTCTTCCCTCGGTCTGCTACTCACCTGACTTCAGCTCACAGTGTGAAATGATGCAATCCTCTAGTATTTGAGTAAGTATAAATCTTTACGCAGATAATAATATTAATTTTTTATGCTCTGCACAGTAAAAAATGGATTTTATGGGGATTTGATGAGAAGAATAAGTTTGTTTCTTCAGTTGTTTTATTGATATAAAACACAGTCTCTTGAAGATGTACATGCTCCATTGCGCTGCCACTCAATGAGGCTCTCCACAGGACATATTTCCCTCTCGCTATGTCTGTCTCTCTTCTGCCATCATGCATCAGTCAGACTGTTGGATTGCCATCGTGACTCCAATGTGCGTGGGAAGCATGAAGTGGTTGAGTGCTAAGCCCACCTATCCACGTCATTTCAAAGAGGACGCAGTGGGGAACCATGCAAGACCTCATCCTAACCCCCATTCCCTCTCCAATTTCCTCCCACATATCTGTCTCCCACTGAGTGTCTCACTTGTATAGGGAATTAATCAATCAGATATGCACATTAGAAAACTAAGCAAAGGAGGAGGGGGTACTTTGTCGGTAGAAGATAATAAAAAAGCAAGATATAAAAGTTAAAATATAAAAGGTAATTTGTTCAGTAAACATTTAATTCGCCAACATTTGATAAAGGGCATCAAACAAAAAAAAAAGCTAACTTCAGGATCTCATAAGAGAAGGAACCATGTGGGACTTGCAATAAAAATGCCTTTTACATTGGACAGTTAAGAAACCAACCAGTTTTCACCTTTTTGTTTGTTTTTTCCTGACCTTTTTATTCATTCATGTGATAGGGAGTGTGTCCTGATTGGACAATTGAAACCACAGGGGCACTCAACCCATTACTGCAACATACACAATATTGGCAAAAGTTTTGGGTCACCTGCCTTTACATACACGTGAAGGTTTATGACATCCTATTCTTAATCCGTAGGATTTAATATGGAGTTGGCCCACCCTCTGCAGCTATAACGTCTTCAACTCTTCTGGGGAAGGCTGTCCACAAGGTTTAGGAGTGTGGTCATGGGAATCTTTGACCATTCTTCTAGAAGCGTATTTGTGAGGTCAGGCACAGATGTTGGACGAGAAGGCCTGGCTCGCAGTCTCCGCTCTAAATTCATTCCAAAGTTGTTCTGTTGGTTTGAGGTCAGCACTCTGTGCAGGCCAGGCAAGTTCTTCACACCAAACTTGCTCATCCATGTCTTTATGGACCTTGCTTTGTGCACTGGTGCGCAGTCATGTTGGAACAGGAAGGAGCCATCCCCAAACCGTTTCAACAAAGTTGGGTGCATGAAATTGTCCAAAATGTTTTGGTATCCTGATGCTGATTAACAGTTCCTTCTTGGTATGCTGAAGCATTAACAGAGTCTTTCACTGGAACTAAGGAGCCCAACCCCTGAAAAACTACCCCACACCATAATCCCCCCTCCACCAACTTTACACTTGTCACAAGGCAGTCAGGCAAGTGCCGTTCTCCTGGCAACCGCCAAACCCAGACTCGTCAACTGGATTGCCTGACAGAGAAGCGTGATTCATCACTCCAGAGAATACGTCTCCACTGCTCTAGTGTCCAGTGACGGCATGCTTTACACCACTGCATCCGACGCTTTGCATTGCACTTGGAGGTATAAGGCTTGGGTGCAGCTGCTCAGCCATGGAAACCCATTCCATGAAGATCTCTACGCACTGTTCCTGAGCTAATCTGAAAGCCACACAACGTTTAGAGGTCTGTAGATATTGACTCTGCAGATAGTTGGCGGCTTCTGCACACTGCACACCTCAGCATGTGCTGACCCTGATCTGGGATTTTATGTGGTCTACCACTTCGTGGGTGAGTTTCTGTTGTTCCAAATCGCTTCCACTTTGTTATAATACCACTTACAGTTGACCGTGGAATATTTAGTAGTGAGGAAATTTCACAAATGGACTTATTGCACATTAATTTTTAAAATACACATTTCCATGTAAAATATAGGTATTTTAACTTAGGGCACAAACCCTATAATGTGTCTTGGATAGTTTTTGAAGGAGTCTTGAATTTTACATTTTTGATTGGGACTCTCTCCACCCACAGAATGAGCCCTTCACAAGATGGACAACCACCAAAAACGTAACAAAA